GTTCACGGTGTTGGCCTTGATCTCGGCATCGCGGATCAGGGTGGCGTCCTGCTGGCAGGGGTTGATGGTCGTGCAGTTGCGGGCAAGGTTGGGGTCGACTGAAATTTGGAGTCAGTGAGATGAGTTCTACGATAAGCCCAGTGAATCCCCCGATGATGAAATCTCATGTTGAAGCCATCACCAACTGATTCGTATGTTTTCCAGCTCACTTACCCTTGAAACCAACAGAAGCAGGACCACCGGCATCGCCCTGAGCATTAATGATAGCCGCGTGGCCGCGAACCACCGCCAGCATGGACGCGCCAATAATGATATCCTTGAAAGAAAGCATCTTGTCTCGCAGAGACTAAGTTCAATGTGCCCAGCACGATTAAAGGAACGAAGTGAAGGAAGAAGAGAAGAGAAGAAAAGAAAAGCGAAGCCCGCTGGGAGAGCGAAGGCACAAGTGAATGATATTGATTGTGTGGGTGAGGGAGGAAGAAGGAGAAACCTAAAAGACGAGACGACGCCGCGAAGGTCATCTTATACATAACCTCGCGGACGAGGGCCGAAACGACGTAAACGTAGTCAAACGCCCACCATCAATGATGTACGCTGATCTGCTCAGATCATCTGCAACACCTCCTGTCGCAAGGCTGTGGTGCTGGGCGGAGTCGCGACCTGACCCTGAACCAGTCCTCTCTTGGCAGATGGAGGGAAGCCTGGGAATAGGCACTGGAAGGGGAGGGAAGGGGAAGGGTGAGGCGAGGCAGGGGTTGGTCAGGGTGAGCATGGTGCAGTTCGCGTGTTGGTCGAGGCCTTGTCAGTGGCCGGTAGCGAGGCATTCGGGTGGCATATGGGGGGCATTTCCATAGTATGCCCAGTATGGCAGCGCTTTCAGGACGTGGAGGAGGCTCTGGGAGTGCGTTGGATGTGGATGTTGGGTGGTTGAGTCTGCCTCTGATGGTGGTGGTGGTGGTGGGTGGATCTTGGAGTTTGGCGAAGGATCCCTGTCTGTTAACACACAAGACCCCTGCCTCCCACCCTTCTGGCCCATGCAAGTCCGCCCTTGTCCGCTCTCGTCCGGGATGGTCAAGTCGGTTGCCCGCGAGTCAACGGCGAGTTTTCACAAACGGCGTCTAGCCGTGTTTGGCAGGGCCGAGACAGACGGGAGGTCGGACGATTAGGCGCTGAGGGGTTGGTTCTGAAGAGGCGAGCGTGTTTCACAGAGCATTACCAGATGCCCTAGTAAGCAATTTGACAACGGAGCCAGGGCATGTCAGCGCCCCTCCAAAACGCAGCCACCACCGCCAGGCGCCCAAAAGGGGACGAAGGGGGGCGGCAGCGAGCGAGGATAATGAAGCTTACTACGCCGTCATAATGCCAGCGAAAGAGGAACCTTCTTTGCCCTCCTCCTGCGAGATGGCTGCGGCCCATTGCTTTTTCTGGGTGCACCGCTGCGAGGTCGTCTGTTGTCCAAGGGTCGACCCGTCTCTTCTCGGCCAAAAGGGGGTCACAGACTCGAGGTGTGATACACGTGCCAAGAGGCAAAGCCCAAAGCGCGCGACGATGGCGGCGGCCGAGGGCGAGCGAAGAGAGAGCGGAAAGCAGGGCGAGAGCGAACAGCAAGCCGGGGCTGGAAGATTCCTCCCATTCTTTTCGTCCCATTCCTGAAATCCTGACGTTGACAGCAAGCAGGCAGGCATCGTGGCGTCCCGGCTGCGGCAGCGGGTAGGACGGACAGAACGTGGACTCGTCTGGTGTTGCTGACTCTCACACACACACTCACTCTTGCTCTTCCTTTCTCTCTCTTTTCCCCTTCGCAGTCACCTTTTCGTCCCGCCCCAGGTAGAGTGAGACCGACGCTCGGAGACCGGCCGAAGGGGTCGCCTGTTTAGCCCAAAAGAAGCCACACAGGCGACGGATGGAGATGCCGCCCAGATCCATCCAGATCGTGGCTGGTCTTGTTTTAGAGATTTCGACCAGACGACGAGGGCAAGAAGATGCGAGCCGCTAGTCCCAGTTCCCAATCCCGCCCAGCCCCAGCTGAGCCTCCTTCAAGAAGCTGTCAATTGTCGATGTTTATGACGATCGGGAACCACTTACCGATGACCGACTCGGGGATTATGTGTGGTGTTGCGACCGTGAACTCCAGAAGCCAAGAACGAGCAACGTGCCTCAGCAGCGCATCAGCGTGGAGAGTCGGTGGCAATCAGTGTCAATCATCAGCAGCGGCCCTACCGATAGTAAAGCCAATCTCCTCGGGGGTCCGGGGAGCAATCTATCTTGCCCACACGAATCCCCGTATTCGACATAAGGTGACGGATGCAATATACATAGATTAACGGGTACCTGACCGATGGACGGACTAAAAGAGCGTGTATGGTACCTTGCATGGAAGGCCGTCCGTCACTCGGATGATGCACGCTGCTTGGCCACTTGGCGGACTTCACTCCTGCTTGCCTTGCCATTACGCTTTTGTCATGCTCATACAGTTTGGTTTCCATGGCTGCTAAATTCCGGTCATAATTCCCGCCCGCGTCTCCAACACGGCTGCCACCTCACGCATACTCACACAAACCACCAAAACCACCACCAAGACAACCACCATCCCCAAATAAAAATTCTCCGCGACGGAAAGGAGAAGCGCGAGATCCACAAGATTGCTGCAAGGAGAGCGCCTCCCCCCGGCAGCGCAGGGATTCTAATACCAGGATCTACCCTTCACGTTTCACCTCGGCCCACAGTTAGAGCAGGTGTCATTCGATCACCGGCAGCCTCAAGTGGGTGGGCTGCATCGCTCGTGGGTGGATTTTGGACGTTTCGAGACGAATCTGAAGCATCGACATCGAGCCACTAGGGTCGCAAAAAAGGAGATAGCTCGGGGTTCTTTGCGTCTTTGCAAGACAGCCATTCGCTGTGGTGTCGTCACTTGGCCATTCTCTTCATGATATTGGTCCACACACGTAAACTCGAACGCTCTCATTCAGTCTCGCGACCGGCGCCCCCGTCCTCCGTGTTCACATGGATTTCAATCTCGTCTCGCGCTGCCCTCCGCAACTGTAAAACTTTAGTTCTTAATTACCTGCCCAAAATTGCTATGCTCCCCTCCCCTCCAACCCCGCCGAGCGTTCGCGTCGCCGTTCTCCTGTTCGACCCGCTTGCAACCTTATGCCAGAAAGTCGACGCCTGGACCAATGATGATTATGATCGGGGATTTAGGAGCGGCTGGTCCCCTTTCTCGGCGGTACGATGCATCAACCTCGCAGATTGCCTATTTCTAGCCAGCACTGCAACCCAGCCCAGCGGCTGTCGCATCTAACCTCATTAGTGTTTGACGCTCTGCACCTCAGCCCCTTCGGCTTCCCCTCCTACTGCTGTGCCTTCTTCCAGGCTTGGTCAGCGTCGGGATGGACCGACGGCGAGGCAATATGCTTCCGCGCCTCCTGCTTTTCTTTATAATCTGTATTGAACCGCCGGTCTCTGTCGCCGACATACTTTTCAAAGTCGAACTGTCCCTCCGCCGTGAAACTTGTCATGAGTTGTGGCTCTCCTAGAGGCAGCTGATGGCCCTTGTCGACCTGCCAGAGGTGATAGACCTTGCCGTAGACGCGAACGACCTCCTCCATCTCCTTGTTCTCCGCCGCCTCCCATAGCGCATCGGGCAACGCCGGCTGGGGCATGATGAGCATCCCCGACTTGACCTCGTACACATGGCTATGCCACAGCTTCCGCTCCTCCGGGTCCAGCGTCTCGTACAATTTCGGTGAAATCATGTACTCGATGCCAATGATGCGCGCGTGGGGCTCGGGGCTGTCGTAGAGGATGCACTGTCGGACATCGTCGTTCAAATGTCCGCAGTAGTGGTTCGCCTCAACCACCCGGGAGGGGTCCGATGCGTAGGCGTGGAACGCGTTGAGATGCGCGCAGATGTTCTTCAGCGGCGCAAAGTCCTGGTTGTCCGGTTAGCACGATGGGATTCACTATCCATATGTCGCATTGGCAGGCAAAAGCAGACCTGGACGGCCGAGGCGCCGGCTTGCAGGACCTGGTTCTTAGTGGTAACCGGGTCGCCGGCGGCGGGGTTCGTTTCCGACTTGGTTGCCATTGTTCACTGTGAGCAAGATTGCAATGTCGCTCGCTAAGCGGGATCCTTGGAGTTAGTACCACGGTTGGGTCTGTCGATGTTCGTCTAGACTTGCTCACCGCCGGACTTCGTGTCTTGCGATTCTTTTTCTGTTTTTGGTTTCTGAAAAGCCTCAGTTCGATGGTGATCATGTCCATGGTGTATTCGTGACGTCATGCAGCATGTGCGTGTCCTGCAACGCGAATTTCATCATGATTGCGGCATGCGGTGGCATTGCGCCTATCCTCTGCAAGTATTGGACGTCCGATTGTCGACCGCAAGTCCAGAACGTGAACTCAGATGCACAGGCCGGAGCGTTGTTTCCGGCGGCTCTTGCTCTCGGCAGCCCAGTGCGGCAAAACCTTCCGAAGCTGATCCGGATGATCCGCTTCCGGGCGGGTGCTCCCGCCGTAGCGTGCTCCGAGATTTTCTGGGTCTCGATCGGCCGGCGCCGAGGAGGGGCAGTGCATGTCCGGGCTAGGGCAGAGGTACTTGAGCGGAAGGTCCCGATGATTAACGGTCACGGATCATGGTCCCGTGAAACAGTCCGTTCAGGTTTTGCTAGGACAAAACACTCACATAGCATAACTGAAAGGGAGGGCTCTTATCAACCGCATTTAAAGCATCATTTCTAGCCAAATGATAAATCATGACAATATCAAATGCCAACGTCTGGAGCAGTGCAGCATTGAGCGTAACCCATTGATGAATCTCGTACTTCAATATTGCACAACATTCCCAGTTTCGCCAGACGGATAGATGTATTGCAGTCATATAACCCAGGCTATCGATGCGAACCGCGCGATGTGACTGAGGTTGTACAATTGACCATCGACAGCTGAACCGAGTGAGCCCGTCTAGCTTCCCCCTCACCCATTCCCCAAAGTGGTCTCACTCAAGTGCAGAAGATGCAGCCGCAGCTGAAGTCAAAGCTGCAGTCCCGCTTGTGAACGTCGGGGTATGCGGCGATGATGGCGTCGACGTAGTCTTTGCTCAGCTTGATGGACGTAGTCTGCCCTTCAGGCGCAGGGGCAGCGACAGCAACGGACGCAAGGGCGAGGGCGGCAACGGCGAAGAATTTCATGATGGTTGCAATGAGACTACGAAAGCGTTTTGTTTAGTTCAAGGCAAACTCACGAAGTAGTTGAATTGAAAGATGAATCTTGGGCATGTGCGCTTACAGTTGTGCGAGTGAAGATTTCTTGTTACTCGGGTTTGATGAATGCTAAGATGTTTCTTCTCCGATGGGAAACTTGGTGATGAATTCAAATATGATTATTGGCATCGACTTACCTTATATAGTTCAATGCTACGGAAAGGTATCATTTCCTCAATGTCACATACAAACATTCGTGTTCGCCGGAGAACAAGCCTTCAAAGTGCGAGGTTAATTCCACATTGGTGGATTTCGAATTACCGTGCTCGTCGCAACAAGTCCACGAATTGTCAAGTTTCAACATCCATACAGGCTTCTCATAACCAATACTGGCGTAATGGAAGCCAAAATCAACACGTCAGAGGCCTTGGCATTCCTATATCTCACAGGCGGAGGTCACATCCGTTGCTAGATGTGAGTGTCAATCGCGAAGCTATCCCCGAGCGAGTGGTCGTACGCGCGAGTAACTAGCGAGTATTCCTAGGACAGCAGTAAGCATCATTGGACTATGCGAACCATTGCTTCCAAGGAACATTCAGATTTGTGAAAGGGAGGTCTCAGCTTGCTCTATTCCAACTTGCAATTGGCTACCAACTGGGGAACCATAAACAAAGTATGTTGAGATCATTCGTGGAACTAAATTGACCGGTAGGATTCTCATGAACGGCTTATCTCTCGGACTTATCTTACTGTATGCACCTACTCCAACTGCCTATGACGGATCCGGCTTTACGAATTAACCTCATGATGGACGAAGGATCGTTCTTGGCAAATCCTAGACTGCGGAGTTGAGCGAATCAATTGCCAGCTTCAGACACGTTCAACTAAGCGATATGATAGTACATGCACTTGTAATCACATATCGAGATTGTGGATGTTCGAATCTTTTCTGACGTCGATGAATCATTTTTGTTGCTGATTTATGTAGCTTTCGTAACGAGGAATGCGGGTTTCCAGAGTTTCAAGACGCTCAAATTGCTTGAGGCCAGAAGACCTCTTGGATAATACTCATTCATTTCTGTTTCTCATAGTATTGGAAAGAGAATGTGAGTCGTCTTGGAAGAGAGCGGAATCCGGTGAAGCCCAGGGTCTCAGTTTCCTGCTGGTAGCCCCTATTGTCTCGGTGTGCTCACCTCACCGGGTGCAACCCTTCACATGTTCTGGCCATTAGTGGCCCACCGAGATTGTGGAGCATTTAACCTGGTAAAAGACACTCGGTGGTATTCTCCACCTCGGTCAAAGCCGGAGAGACAATTCAGGATCTCGAAGGCGAAGCCGATTGGGTTGAAGAAAAGTCTGCCGACCAAAAGCCACTCAATCACAAGCCTTGCCAAAATTTTGCGAAGAAACAGAAGAGTGCGCTGCAAAATAGTACTGATGTTATTATTGTTAAGCTTTTCGACGTCGCAACGGCCATGGAGCTCGGGTGCATTACTTACGGAGAGAGGTGGGAGTAAACTCCTGGATCAACCATGTAGTCAGTCTTCAGCCGACGAATACGAGATGTTCGTCAAAAGCTCAAAAAAGAATTGAACAAAAACATGGGCGCCGAGTCTCAACTCACGGGAAGCTGTGCTGGGACTTGAGGAAATGCAGATCGAACTCATTCTGGTAATTGCCGTTTTTGTCTGAGATGCCACCAAATCCCTGCATCGAGTTTTGTCTCCCCAGGCTTCTTCTATTCTTAGCATGATCGTTGTCTGAGGTCGGATCCGATGGGAAGTCCGCGATCACCAGCTAAGCCGCCTTGCTGGGCTTAGTCCCTTGAGTGACCCTTGGGCTAGTGAACCTCCGCAACGATACGGACTACGTCACCGCCCTAATGATTCTTCTCGATCAAATCTCTTTGCCATTTCCTGTGCTCTAGAGGTCGAATCGAACACCGCAGTTACGAGGCAATTGAGAGCTTCGGCCTGGAAAGCATGGACTTGATCGCATGTCTACGAGTTGGCACATGTCTCAGGCAATTTCACCACTCAAGTTGTACAAAAGTGTTTGTGAATTGGCTCTGCGCATCAACGCTAGCTTTACACGCGACCCAAAGGCCGCATGCCGAAAGCCGTGATGGGAAGCAATTGGATGAAGTGTAGAGTGAAAACTCTCAATGCATTCGTCAACCCAAGAGGCGAATCCTCGTATTCTTTCGAGGATCAGCTTGAGGTGTCATATTCTCCGCCGTTTTTCGGGCGGCGTGATGGTAGGGGCATCTGACGTGCGTCTACGGGCCGATCTAGTGTGCCAAGCCACGAAGCTTGTGCGTTGGGGTGGAAGAAAAGACGCGACGGCGTCCGAAGATGTGCGAAACCAATGCCATGTTGGTTGCTCATTGACGTAAACGTGCAATCCAGGCGCGTCTAGCTAGGCATCAATACCAGGAACAGGAAGTAACGTTGAATTTCGGTAACGTTGTGCTGCTATAGAATCTGTAATGAAAAATAATCTAATACAATATCTACGCATCGCCCGTTATGCGTACAGCTTTGCAAATGACTCGTGGATAAATCTGAATGTTCAATGCTCATGCAAGCGACGTGGAGGCATTGTGACTTGAGGACAAAAAAAAAAAAGTGAGGTTGGGAAGTGAAAAATGCAAAAAAATCGTCACCCACAGGATTCGAACCTGCGCGTCCGAAGACACTGGCTTGATAGCAGATAATAGCAGGCCAGCCCATTAACCACTCTGGCAAGGTGACTAATCAGTTGATGTGAGACTTGGGCACTAAGTTACTTATATTGGGCTAGGCGTTCGGCAGGTACGACTGGCCCCGCAAATACGAGAAGATCAACAAACAGAGCTTCTGCTCCCAGCGACATGCAGCGGACAAATGCGCACACTGGATTACTGCCGGCAGCTGGTTGGTCAGACCCCTAAAAAGCGGCGTATCCTACCCAAATTCCTCAGCTCCAGCACTTCATTGCGCCATGCTGGTCCTCTCCACATATGGAGGAATAACACTATGCTAACACGGACGTCAAGTTTGTCTGCTCGTCAGTTGTCTGACTCTGACGTGTTTGTTCTGTTTGGCCCATTGAAACGTTACCGTTGGTAGGCGGTAAGGACAGCCCGGTCCAGCGCAGCAACGGGAAGCAGCGAAGCTCCCTTCTTCCCTCGGGGCAATACGAGAGCTTGTCAAAAACAAGTCGTTTTTATTTATAAAGATCGGCCGGATCGGCACTAAAACACTCGGGGAAAAGTAGGCCAAAGTTTGATTAGTGCCACCTTTGGGCCTCAGCCCCGTCGCTTTTCCCGCGCGTGTCAGCGGCACGCTTCCCCCGACCGACCGAATTCCCTCTTTTCCCGCCCCCTTTTCCGGGACTGACGTTGTTCAACTCTGCAATATTCCCCGGGAAGAGCCCGCTAGACTGGCGGAAGCTGCTAAGAATAGGCGAATTAGGAAACTTTCGAGAGTCCTGCAGGCTGCCGCTCAACTCCCAAAGTCTTCCAAGTGACCCAGGAAATGCTCCGATGGCGACATGAGCCGCAGCGCCACCCCGCTGAAGTCGGGAGCCGCTCGCTCGGCTAGCACGGGGGAGCATTGAGGGGACCCAACGATGTCATGCCCAGATGATGTGCGCCGCCATACCGACATGTTGGCTGAGTGCCGAGAACCTGACCTCGGGTGATGCGAAAATAACCGTGGGGATATGGAGGCGGCTGGGGTTGAGTCTCCATGTTCATTCGATGTTGTGATGGTCTACTTAAAGATCGGCCAAATCCTCTCCATCCCATCTCCTTCTGTCCATCCCAACACACACCTAGACTTCCAACTCATCTGAACTTCTGAACCAACCACAATAATCAATCCACCTTAATCACCAAACCCCCTACAAATCATTCAAAATGCAGTTCCGCGCTTCCATCGCCGCCGCCGCCTCCCTCTTCGCCCTGGCCAACGCCCGCATCTACGGCATTGCCTTCCCCGAAACCGTCAAGGCCGGCGACCAGGTCAACGCCATCATCGAGACCGAGAACTACATCCAGTCCGTCCAGGACGTTGCCATCGCCTTCGGCATCGCCCCCGAGGCCTCTGCCTACCCCGGCACCCTCTCCACCGTCATCGGCTCCTTCTACCTCGGACCTGGTAAGCTTCCCCGCGGACCCCGCGGAAGACACAAATTTGTTCTAAACATGTTCCAAATAGAGAAGTCCAATGTTCTTGACAACATCACCGAGACCGTGACCATCCCCGCCGAGCTCGCCGCTGGCACGTACGTTGTCTCCGCCGGCGTCTACAGCCTGTACGGCGCCTCGTCCAGCACCACCCTCACCAACTATAACGTCACCATCACCGTTGGCGACGCTACCAGCGAGAACTACGTCGGCAGCCAGTAAACGGTACGACTTCATGAGCATCAGATAAAAATCACATGGCATATAAATGGCGTTGGGTCTGCTTCACTTGCATATGCACCAAGACTTTCTTTCAACTGTCTTCTCAGACACCAACCTTTTGGGGTGAACGTTATGTTTCATGGTACGAGATAGTGGAAATCAATAATTGATAGTGTTTTCAATTTCTTCCGTCCTACTCAATCTCGTGCTGGCAGTGCAAACCAGGTTTCACCGGATGCCGACTATTTTGTAAATCAGCCTAGCATGACGCCTGAGTCTGAGGTCGAACTTGTCCCAATGAACATTTTCATCTGCGATTCTCATATGATTGGCTGAGAGACGAAAGGAGGTCACATATCATGGCGTTCCCGCCTCACTTTTACCGCTGCACCCGCAACACCTGTAAATGCGTCAGCCTGCATACACGCGGTCCTTTCTGTTGGCTCTGCCTGCTAGCCTGATTTTGAGAGGATACGCACCAATGCTTTTGTAACCCCGCCGTCTTTCCTACAGTCTCTTCTCCTTCAACTTTCACACTTTTGCTGGTCGCCATAGAACCTCTCAGGATCACCTCCGCACACATTCACGTGTTTTATGGCGACCTCTATTCTATTCCCTGGTGTATTCAGTGCTCAGTCATTCAACAACAGGACAGTGGCGGCTAAAATCAGAATGCCAACCTATAAACGCTGACAATGGCAGAACTTCTGGGAACAGTCGTTGGGGTGGTGTCCTTGGGGCTTCAAGTCAGCGCAGGAATCAGCACCTATCTCGATGGCGTCCAGTGCCGTAAGGAGGACATTGGACATACGACGAGACGTTGTAAATCTATGGACGCTTTGTTGCAGCAGATCAAGTCACTTGAAGGTCAGCTTTCGGTATCGACCGGCGCGAACACAAGTGCTATGAGAGAGGCAATGACGTCAGCGGAGATGGAGCTCTCGAATCTAGGCGACTTTACTACGAAAATATGCGCCGGCAACACTGCTCATTCACCTGATACGGCCATTGAGAGAGTAAGAGATCAGAAAAGTAAACTTCTATATCCGTTTCGAAAAGATCATTTGTATCGCCTCAGCGCTCGGCTAGATTCTGCAAACGCAGCCCTTCAGTCTGCCCTAGTGCAGGTTCAGTTGTATGTGGCACATGAAATTTTAAACAGTTTAGACTAATCATATGTCTAGGAAGCTTTCCGTAGAGCATGGCCAAAATTTACAAGGACTGAGGACGGGCCTCGATTCACTATCACAGGGCGTTTCTGATATGCATTTAGACATGCAGGCATCTGTTCAGCAAATACAATCGAACGGAACGGCGTTGAATTCAGCCCTGACAAACGTTGAGAAGAATACTCAGGACAGCACCGCACTCCTAGATGCTACTCGACAGGAGACGGTGCTGGTCAGGAAAGACCTGGACGAGGTGAAGATAATGTTGACGTCCCTGATGTCCTCATCTTCTGATGGTAGAGCTGTCCTGCCGAGATTGATCTCAAAGCCGGCCGTTTTGAAGGATATTTGCAACCTTGCAGAAGACAGCGAAGATGCTAAGTTTGGTCTTGCAGCACATGATCCTGATCGTCCAGTATCGAAACGTCGCTCCTTCCCTGGGTTTCAATGTACCTGCAAACCACGTCAAGTGTCTCGACGTATCAGAAAACAGATCGGTGTGGCGTTTTGGGAGCGAGAAAGCCTGGCCGCCAACGTCCATGCATCATCGTGCCCTTTGGCTAGGGTATGCAGGATATCAAACGACAAGTGGTCCGTCGGCATCTCGACTAGGGCATTGAGAGGCGTCCTCTCTGCAGCTATAACATTCTCGATGTCAGCTGCATTCGGTGCAGGGGGCTTTGGCTTGTCGCCGTCTTTCACGTACTATCCCATCCGTAACAAAAGCCCAGCATTAAAAGTTATATACCTTTTGCGGGATGCTTTTATGATTGAGGGGTGGACGAACGAAGATTGTAGCAGCCTAGTCGGACACGGCATAGAGACTTTGCAGGCTATATTTACGGCGAGAACATCGTCTCCCCTGGACATAGACGAAAGTGGCAGGAGTCTTTTGGGAGCTATGTCTTCTGTCGCAAGCGTTAATCCTTGGGGAGGTTTCAGAAACAAAATGTTCGCCTTTTTGGTCGATTTGGGAGTTCCACGGGACCGACCGGATGAGAGGGGAATGTTCGTTTGCTGATGCCCTACAAACTGTCCTTTGTTGTTGACGACTTATCGCAGATTTCCTTACAACTTTTACGTCATACGCATGGAAGCATCCGCTCTCATGATGACCGTAGGAGCTCTCGAAGTTCTTTGGCCAGATGATGTTACTTCTCCCCCTACACCACGAGGCGAGAACGAGCCCCGATTTGAAAGATTTGTTGACGTGGAAAGAATGAAACTCTTCAAGACGGTCGCCGCAGCATCTTCAAAGATGAAAACAGGTGCGTGGCCCGGTTGGTATTTAGGCTGTTTCTGTGGGAATTAACGAGTCACAGCATATGAAGGCCATGTCATGGGGGCTATTGCCCAGCAAAGTAAAGATATGCTAATCAAGGCAATGGAAAAAGCCTCGTTTGTTCCGGAATTATCCGCCAAGGACCCCTTTGGCTGCAGCATGCTGCATTACTTGATGGGATGGCCTGAAGGCTTACAAACTATGATCGAACGATACGGTTATTCCACCTTATTACAGCTGTCCCACCAAAGTCGATTCATATTACTTGAATGTGCTCTCATCTGGAGTGGCGAAATATGTATGGGCTATGACTTGCGGAGCTGTCCGAATGACTGTCCATGTGCGCAAGCGGTAAATCTACTCTTGGAGGCCCAACGGGAGTACCCATTACAGCTCAATCTTCATGGGCACTGGCCAGACGCAATGCTTCGCGCCTCAGTCAAAGCCAGAGATCTGACTATATACGAGCTCAAATCTCGCAGGCAGGGATTGAAACAATTAGCACTTCTTCATTTGAACTCCCAACAAATCGACCGAATGGACCTAAGGAAGGACAGCGTTCTCGATTGCTACACCAAAAATGTACTGGAAACACTTGAAGACATGGGCGTCGATATACCCCGCCGTTTTCGAACGGAGTTACACGTCGGGGACTGGCACCGACGAACCATCCGCACGAGACTGGGACAGGACGTTAGCAGTATGATGAGCCACAAAGCTGCGTCTGTCTATCACGTCTTAGGCTATTCTCAGGCCTGTGGTGTTTCACTTTGGACCCATGAATTGGCAGACTCTTTCTACTCCAAAGGATTTCACGATGTTGACACCTTAGACAGCTCCGGATTAAGTCCTTTGGCCGAAAAGTATGACCAGCCAAACCTAGGATATGATGGGTGGACCTGGGAAGCGTCCATTGAGTCATGGTTCACCCGACGTGGCGCGAAATTTGGAAGGCAAATACCTCCCTGCGTTACTGGGTATACTGTGACCCATCACGTGTTTGGGTTAGTTGGATCTTGCGAAACATTTGCAAAGGGCAAACGTCTAGTCCACATGCTGCATGGTCTTTTGAAATTCAGCGGCACCTTTGAATCGCAAAAGCAAGATGCCTGCAAATGCGCATGCTCTATCAACGGCTGCAGTCCTTGTAACCGTATGTGGAAAAGAGCTTTGGAGATTCGCAACTTTTGTGCCTACAGGAGGGGCACCGAACACGACCGAAAGCGCACGACGAACTTCATCTACGAGCAGACTCAATTGATAGAGGAAGCTTTTAACATCCCAAGGCATATAAAGTATGCTTGGTTACGAGCATGTACCTTCCATATGCTGCCGCTTCGGCATACCTGTTGCATCAACGGCTCGCAAAAGCATGATCACGAGGAAGTCTTTGAAATCTGGCAAGAGGACGAGCTTGAGCTAAACCATCTAGAGCTCCTCCTATCCGAGTTTGAACGCAAGATGGAGGAATTGGACTGCTCTTTGTCGGAGTTCTATCGATTGTACTGGAACGATAGAATGCTTGAGGTGCTTCGCAAGATGGATGAACAGACCCTCACTTCTCAAGAGATAGAAGCCGCACAACGTTTGGGCGTCAATCTGGTCGCTCAAGATGCAACGACGAAGATAACGGTCACTGAAGACAGGTATTGTCTTGGATACTGGCTTCAACGGATGGATGAGGTGCTAGAAGGTTGAAGAATGAGCTTGATCACGCCAATTTGCGCAAGTAGGCCTCAAATTCACATAGTATATGCACAAGAGTTGCTAAGAAGGGGACACGGATAAGTGTTATGGTTGTATGCGTGAACCGAGCGCCGCATCTATTGATTCTTTTTACAATCTTTGCGTTTTCTCGACCAGACAAGAGACGCTGTTACAGATCCCAGCCCAGAGTAACTTTATCACTAGATAGCCCGCCCACCTTACGATACTCAGAAGGCAGACACTATTCGGTTTCCAACTGAATCTGTGTCTTCGGCCGCCGCAATAGACCGAGGCCGGCACCCGGTCCCTCGGCCTCGGAGGTCGGATCGCAAAATATCAAGGCGCCGGCGCTGCCCACGGGTGTTGGGCCGCACTAAGGGTTGGTGAGACAATGTCATCAAGCCACCGGGCGTCTTTGCTTACGGCACATGGGGCCAATCGATCAGCTTTCTTCCTCTGACCAATCCATTTCGCGCTTATCTCGCGGTTAACCAAAGTCCGTAATTTCTTACATCCGTCTGACTGCTTTGGGACTTTTGTTTTGTTTGCTGGACCGCCGGCCCTGAAGAAGTACCGTTCTCCCACCTCCTCTCCCTTCTCTCGTCGCCGGCCACAAGCACCACAACATCGGATCGATCATTCGTCAAACCATCGTCGACAGCATTGTACAGCATCGGGGTAAAGATGTCAGACACAGAAAAAAAGGAGGCATTCGCGCCTCAAGCGCCGCCTGCCAGCGACGGCGAGGCTGAGGCTGTCAAGAGTCCTGCGAGCCCGGCAGGGTTCGATAAATCAGCGTTCCCGGAGGGCGGTGCCAAGGCTTGGCTGACTGTCTCTGGCGCCTCGGCGTGCCTTTTTGTTTCCTTTGGATGGGTGAATTGCGTCGGCATTTTCCAAGATTATTACCAGGAAAATCAATTGCGCGACTACACGCCGTCGGAAATCGCATGGATCCCTGCACTGCAAAGTAAGATCGCCTCTTCGCTTGTTTTCACTCATCATTTCTGCTGTCACACCGTCTCATGCTACTTGTATGAGTATTTGACATCGGAATAATTGCTAATCGCTCTCATCATGGGCAGTTTTCTTCATGATCTTCAGCGGTCTGTTCATCGGCAAAGTAATTGATGACTATGGACCGGCGCTTCCTCTTGCCATTGGCACGTTCTTCCACGTCTTTGGCCTGATGATGGTCAGCATCTCAAAGACGTATTACCAAATCTTGCTCAGCCAAGCTATCTGCTCTGCAATCGGCGCTTCCATGGTGTTCTATCCTGCTTTTACCTGTGTAAGTTATCGCACTTCAAGCTCATTCAAACTCTCCACGTGGGTGACATGCGGCTAACAGGATTATTTCATTCCATGCAGGTTACGACATGGTTCTTCAAGAAACGTGGCGCCGCCATTGGGCTCACGGTCTGCGGCTCGTCCCTAGGAGGCGTCATCTTTCCCATCATGCTGGTTCATCTCATCCCGCAGATCGGCTTCGGCTGGTCTATGAGGGTCTGTGCCTTTCTCATCCTGGCTCTGCTGATCTGGGCCAACTTCACGGTTCGCTCACGCATCCCGCCCACCAAACGCCCATTTCGTGTCACGGCTTTCTTACAACCTTTCCGGGAACTGCCCTTTTCACTGCTTACTGCAGCAGTTTACTTCTTCTACTGTAAGTCTTCTTCGGAAACGATGCACCATGACTGTCAAGCTAACTCTATCAAGGGGGCATGTTCATTCCCATCACCTTTATCGTCGTCGAGGCTCGCGCAGGCGGAATGTCGGAGAGCTTGTCACAATACCTTGTTCCCATCCTGAACGGTGCTAGGTAAGAATCTTCTGACGCTTTGTGGACTATCATCCAGCGTTGCTGACTCATTACTCGCAGTATCATCGGACGCACAGTACCCAACGCCCTCGCTGACAAGGTTGGCCACTTCAACATGATGATCACGATGAGCTTCTTGACCATGATTCTGATTCTGGCCTTTTGGCTGCCTGCGACCGGAAATGCCGCAGACATCACCTTCGCGGCCCTGTTCGGCGTGGCATCTGGAGCCGGTATTGGGTTGACACCGGTGCTCGTCGCGCATATCTCGCCCATTCAGGATATTGGAGTCCGTACCGGCGCTGCGTACGCCGTTGCGTCTATCGCTGCTTTGACCGGCTCGCCAATTGGTGGCGCCATCATCAGCAGCAGTCGCGGGTCGTTCCAAAATACCAAAATCTTTGGTGGAGTGTGCTGTGCCGTCGGTGTGGTATTATTCATCGCTGCTAGAGTAGCACTGGTAGGCTGGAAACCACAGAAAGTTTAACATTCTGTAGGAGAGTGTTTGGAAATGTAAGTATTCTGAAAAAGACAGCATCAAGTAACAGCGGTCATGACATGCTTGTAACGTAATGATAAACGGCGGTTGCCGGAAGAAGCCTTGTAAGACCTGTGTACTACACGTTACCATGACCCACCTCTTTCTAATATTGATATTCAATTCAACGAAGATCCATTGGGTGACTGTACAGCCGATGTTCTAGACCGAGGAGGTGCTCATCTCCTGATGCACAGAGCAGATTCATTGTTCGTGAAGGTATCACTGAATGAACCAGATCTTCTGATTCATTCCACTCCGTTAGCATTGCTCAAAGAACAAGCTCAGACAAGCAATTTTCTCTATGCAGGACTGCAATAATTCATCAGTTTGCCAGGATTTGCTTTTAGTAACACAGCTCGCAGTGAGGATCAATTAATCAGGAAAGACATCAGCTACTTATCTGCCGCCCAAGACCCATAGCACCCACGGCGGCTCACACGCAAAGACATTGTATCCACTCCATGCATTATCCTGATGCGGTGCTTACCCCGTCGATCGATGGATGCCCTCAGGAACGTTGAGCACGGTTGTGGATGACCGATCACGATAAGCATTTTCACCCGCAGATCGATGAGCCGTGGGACTCGTGGGTTCAAACCAACGCACAGGGTGCATGCACGTCACAGCTCCGCACATAAAGATAGAAACACGGCTTCAACCAAACTACAGGAACCTGCTCGCGTGATCATAGCGTGCCAATGATATTCGCGACGATTCCATGTGAAACCCCATATGAGGGTACTCACATATCGTACTCGCATCCCCAGCTGGAGGGGCCGTTACTATCTGTAGTTGCGAATAAGAGATGTCGCGCAAACAAACTTTCTGTCAGACTGATGATAGCTCAAGACCCTATGCCTTATCAGTCACTTTTCACTTTCTAGATCTGGGCAGGTTGCATGCTAACTGCTACCGGCGCCAGCCAGCCGAGTGATGGACGGTACTTGAACATGGTGTGGTCACTATTTTCGGAACTTTGACAGGGAGAAAAATGGAGCTCTGGCCCACTTTCCAGACACCAGGGCTCTGGGTGAGCTTTGCTCACCTTTTGCCATGCAAGAAAAGTATGTATGGCGGCGGTAAAAGTAAGCTTCAACTTGAGACGAACGCCTCTTGAGTCGGGGCTGGAGATCTACTCGACGCCAGTCGGGATGGGAGCTGAAGAACATCAATGACGGTGGAGTGGTCGAAGCTCTCTGAGCTGTGCAGAATGTTTAGCAGACACACCCACACCCCTTTTCGTTTACGAGAAAAGAGGCAAAGTCATGGGCCCCCAAATCTCCTCATGCCGATAGAAACGCTCGAGCCCTTCCATTGTGTCGTCATGGTAGCACCGCGGTCTGGCCGCACCCATGTGGCGCAGGGTTACATTGACAAACTCCGCGTCATCCATTCATCTCCTTGACAGCGAGTTCAGAACAACGCTCGGACGTCGAAGGCTGGCGCTGCAAAAATCGCGACATTCACCGAGAAGGGTATGCCTGTGGCCCTTAATTCGCTTCGCTATTGATACGGCTGGAAACAATATGAATGTTTCTTCCCCTGGCCTCTGGGAGAACCGAGGTCTTCGCAAAGCAGTTGAGTGGAGTCAAAACGGGTTCTCTCCAACAGGTCGCAAGATGGGCTGCTCCTCACCATGCAACTCGTTGAAGCCAAGGATGCATTGCTAACTCATGGCCGAAAGCGAATCGGCGATCTCACGGTCGCATCCAACAGACTTCGAAGTGTGCCGAAAGTAACAACTGCAACATCACGGCTTCCTTCCAATCGCAAATCATGCGCATGCTGGGTGTCCAACGTGCGTGTAACGGTGCCAGTGACATTGAACTGGGCTCATGTGCAGTCTTCCTGTGGCTTTGGCTCTGGCTGCGCGATGCATCAACCATAACGGTCATTGACTTGGGAGAAAAACAAAAGCCACGCGCCTCGGCTATCGATGATCCTAGGATCCCTGTTGACGCAATATGGAGCTATGTGGGCGTTGGAGGCCATTTCCGAGCAACTCCACTCCTGTGACAGCTTTAAGGGTCTCGAGCAGCTCCTCAAACGGCCAAAATAAAGACGGGCAAGCGAGTCAAACAGCATATCGTGACAAATTAGCGCAGCGAAGATGAGCTTCCAGCGTCGTCCCGGGTGGTGGGGGGTTCCCACGACAATCAGCAAATTCTTCATGCAAAACATCTAGATACCAGACTCCCAGGCCTCTGACGGATCCAAGTTCCGGAGACAAATGTCACCCTACTTTGCAAGCTCCTCCCGGCTGCACATCTGCCCGTCCGCGGTCCGAGCACAAGCTAGGAGGGATCTTCGACCGATGACCAGTGCCCTGTCGTCCCATCTTCAGCCACTCTCCCAACCAGTCACAGCAGCAAGACTATCACCACCGCCCTCACTCCAGCAGGAGAAAACAGGTTTCGATGGGTCCAACCCCTCTCTCTGCGGCGAGCATTCCCCTGCTTCCTACCAAGTGCCGGTCGTGTACTAACAGACGAGCAACGCTCGAGCGTGCATGTCAAATGGAGATATCAAATCCTGGCCGCGGCTTGCTCCGATCTTTCAAGAAGAAGACGACGGGCGCGCCGCTTTCCCTTTTCCTCTCGTTTCCCGGAAGAGCTCTTTTCTTTTTCCTCTGAAAAGAATACTGCCACCACTCACATGGCCGCGGGGTGAGACAATCGCGCGCCAAACTCACAAGCAAGGTTTCGCTCTCATTGGCGAGCTGGGCCCCCGAGCACTCTTTTTACACAATTGGTTTATACGCGGAATTGCTTTGTTAGGTCCGGCGCGGAAGGCTTTCTTTTTTTCCCATCTCAGCCATGGCACCCGGGTATGATGTAGATGACGACGCTGCCCACCTTCTCGTCGCCGGGAACGGCAACGCGGCGAAGTCTATTCCCACAGGGACCGTCGACGACGAGCTGTTCGCAAAGGTCTTACCACGGGTAGACAACGGGGCCATTCACGCAGCACGGCTTGCGTTTGGTGACGAATCCGAAGATGAGAGCGAGGACGAGGTCCGTCGACCCCAGCGAGGCCGTTCTCTGTCCGAGTCTAGCATCATGGTGGGAGCTGTCGGAAGCCACTCCGAAAGGGATACGGCCATACCAGTAGAGGCCAGGGAAGCTTCCCGCCCGGGAAGAGACAGCATGGAGTTTAACCCTCCCGCCCGTCCTTTGTCTCGGGGCGACTTGATGCCCCCCGATTTCTCCCATTCAAGGCCCGATAGGGATATCGTCGCCGTTCCTGCTCGAGGCTCATCTCGCCCCGATCGAGGCAGCATTGATAGCAGCGGTCGGATCGCGTCTCGTCGAGATTATAACATTCCTCAACGGCCCCCTCGCGCCGAAGACATTGAGGCCGCAAGAAGAATTCTGGCGCAGGCTGGAGAGGGCGACTATTACTCATCCAAATCTCCCCGAGGGGCGGCTCACTCCTCTCCGCGAGCTGCTCGCTCAGCAACACCTCCGCCCATCGGCCGACCCCACAGGAGAATCATCTACGACGAATCTGACGAGGAGGACGACGGAGACTTCAGCGACCGTAACTATCACGACGAAATTCGGGACGAGGTGCGCGATGCTATAGTGGCAACCCCAGTTACCGCCATCCACTTGCCGATAGAAGACAGGTCTAGAGATTCATCCAGACCACCGGCATCGCACCACCGGCACAGCCGCAGCAGCAGACCCGTAACCTCGAGGCAGTCGTCTCGTCAATCTTCCCAGCCACCACCCGTTTCGCGCGCCGGCGCATCTCTCGCGGCCCACAAGCGAGAGCTGCGGACACCTGTTCTCGATCAGCATCGCTTGTACCAGGATGCGGAGCCACCACCAATTAGCCAGAGACGTCCCGATCCCCCACGCTCACGCCGCACGACATACAAACTGTACAACATGGACGACGATCAGGATCAAGACTACAGCGTAAAGAATGGGCTGGCGGCGAGGCTCACGCCGGATTACAGACCAGAGACGGGCGACAGGCGGGCCATGAGCGACGATTCAATCTCCATTTCGCGACAGTCCACATCCAAGCATAGCGTCACCAGCAATGGCTCCGGATCGAACCGCACCGTCGATTTCTTTGGGCCTGGAATCTTCCAAGTTGTTTTACACAACCCAACAACTTCCCACCAGCTGCTGAAGTTCGCCGAAGCTAGATTCTGCAGCGAAAGTGTCGAGTTTCTCAAAAAGGTAAGCAACGCTCATGTCTTGAGCAGGGGCTTGGATGCGATCACTGACGTCATTGAATCTGCAGGTCGAGCAGTACCACACGACCCTGAATGATCTTGCGGGTATCATGACATCAATCCATAAGGACTTCCTCTCCGAGAGCTCGTCGAAACAGATCAACGTCAATGGCGAAATGAGGAAGCAGGTTCACGTCGACATGAAGGCACTCATGACCAAGACGCTCCCGTCGATGGAATCTTTGTTCTCTGATCTTCAGGAGAGTGTCGAGCAAGATGTTTTCTTGGATATTTATCCCCGTTTCGTGCGCTATCAAATGGCGCTCAATGCAACAAGGGCTTTGGCTACAAACCGACACACATACCAGGGACTCGGCGACTGCTTTTGTTTGACAAACCCGTCGTAAGTTTCCTACAGTAGCACTCAGGTTTTAGAAGCTGACATCGCACGTGAACAGAATTGCGGACAACCCGATCTTATTTGCCTCGGACGGCTTTGTCAAAGTCACAGGTTATACGCGCCCCGAAATCATTCCACGAAACTGCAGATTCCTCCAAGGAGCACACACCGATCGGGTCCCAATTCGTCGCCTGAAGAATGCTATCGATGAGCGGAAGGAATCTGTCGAACTCATTTTGAACTACAAGAAAAATGGAGATCCTTTCTGGAATCTGCTCTACGTCGGTAAGTCTTTGGCTAGGCGGCTCTCCTAGAGAAACCCCCCCCGAACGCTTCGAGAGTCTCACCAGAAACTGACTCTCAATCTTCAGCTCCCCTCTACAATGAAGCAGGCAAGCTAGCTTTCTTCATTGGTGGCCAGATCAACTGCTCCACAACCATCCATAGCAACGTGGATGTTATGAGAGTACTCTCAACCTCGACCAATGACGATACCCAAGACGAAACTAAAGCGAACGCACCGCCCATCCACCGGGCCAGCTCGATGCCCTCCGCACGTAAAGCATTCCTCAAAGCCCTGGGCGTACGTGTGGACAGCAACAACGCGCCGACTACGGTCACTGCCGAAGCAGGAATGGAAAACAAGCTTCTGCACCGCATGGAGGGTCAAAGTCTGAATGCGCAGATGAAGGAGTTTTACACTGCGTACTCAAAGGTAAGATAACTTGATTTTCCTTACCGATCAGTACAACTGACATTCGTAAAATAGTACTTGGTTTTGAGCTACGATTCCTTCATCATCAGGTTCTATTCTGAGGGCGTGATGGAGATGCTTCACCCCGCAAACAACACCATCGGCCTGGTCACCGGCCAGGAAATCTTCCGCTTCTTTAAGCAAAACATGGTAAACCACCAATCGGACTACAAGGCCCGCGTGCGCAGCGCCATTCGTTCCGGCTCGCCAATCTCGATGGAGATTCGGCTGCAGACCCGACGCAGTGCTCTCTTCCGGGGAGACGAAAAGTTTATTACGCACTGGACGCCGTTGAAGGATGATAAGTCTGCCGTGCACTACGTCGTTCTTACAATGGCGCCGGCGATTCAGTGAAAGACGTAGGCTCAGCATTGACGCGATAGTTGGAGGAGGATCAGAATACTTTCCTGCTTCATTCATTTTTTATCTGGCTTTGAAAAATACCCTTCTTCTGGAGTCGCGACATACTAGGCACAAATTTGCTGAAATATCACTCTTCGAAGATCTGTAGCAACTTATTATTAGATCCTTATCTGAATGATGGAACTTTGAGCCTATCGACTAAGAGTGCGCAATATGTCCCCTCCCCTGCTTGCAGTGAACTGTATTACAGAACTTGTTTTTAGGCAATGTATTCCCCAGTATTTAACTCCATCAAAGTTGATGTATGACAATACCAAGTCGGGCGTAAGATTTCACGGGCGTAATGCGGGGTAGCCGAGGAGCACATATCGGTACCTTTCGTTGTTCCAAGAGAGATATGGCCCAGGACGGGGAAAACCATCTTGTATTGCCCCCTCAAGACCTCTCAAGGACTCGGTCAAGTGAGGGTTCTAACCCCTGGAACTCAAGTTCACCTTTTCAATTGAATCTGAATTTGGTTTTGTTATCCCTTACCCACCTCGAACAAGTCAGGTTATTCCGCCGATCAAGTCTTCATTCGTTAGCCAAGACTTTCAGACTCGGACTGAGGCACTTCTGCCTGATTTCGACCTGCAGGATGACCGGTGCCCCACCCATACCTCAACACCATAACAAATCATTCAAGATCGTTGTCCTTCCTCCTCCCCCTTCCCCGCTCCACGTCTAGCGCATCATCCTTCCATGTGCTCTTTCCAAATTTGCGGCATCTATACAAACCTGTCCGAGTCAAATGGAAGTGGCACCGGCTCAGGGGCCACAAAGCCTGCCGTCGTATCACTATGAACCGCTGAAGCACCCAGACTCGACGCGCGTGCTTGTCCTCCACCCCGCCGGCGCGTTCGAATCTCAACTGCTGTGTTCTATCATTCAATACAGTCGACAGGAGCAGCTTCGCAGTGTAGACACTACCCGCAACTATTCTGCTGTGTCGTACACCTGGGGTGAGCCCGATTTCTCCGTCGACCTTATTATTGATCAAAGTAATGCCGATGACGACATCACGCCCAAGAAGTCCCTGCTGAAAATCACACCGACGGTTGATACCATTCTGAGATACCTGCGCGGATCGCACAAGCCGGTACACCTCTGGATCGACGCCCTGTGCATTAATCAGCAGGATGAGAATGATAAGGCGGTGCAGATTCCACAGATGGGAGCAATCTACAAATGCGCCGATATGGTGCACGTCTGGCTTGGCGACGTCGATGCAGACGAGGTCGCGATAGCATTTGCCAACGTACGCATGATTCATGCGTCCCCAGCGACCGAATCCTACAAGGCAGATCTTTTTGAAAGCCTGGCGACCTTGACGCAAAAACCGTGGTTCACTCGAAGATGGGTCATCCAGGAGATCAAGCTCGCAGATCGAGCTGTCTTACGCTATGGAGAGCATTCTGTCGAATATGCACGCTTCCGAACAGCATGGTACTTGGTGGAAAGTCGCATGTTGTCTCAGGATAACATGAAGGATTTGCGGCCTCTGCTAAACCGTGATTCTACAGATGACTTCTTGGAATTGCTCTGGGGATTTCATCTGGCGAATTGCGCAGACCCACGGGATCGTCTTGCAGCTTTGTATGGCTTCCTCCCTCCAAGTGAACAGCCAATAGGTGTCCAGTATGCCCAAATCGGCTGGGAAGAAATGTATCGCCGTCTAGCTGAGAGATTGATCAACGGAAACACTCTATCGGCAACCCGGGTAATTCTTCACCTTTTCGCATTTGGATCGGCTGCTAGACGGGTCCTAGACGACTCCGAGTATCCGTCTTGGGTCCCTGATTGGTCTGGAATTCGACAGCCGGGAATGGCGTCAGGAGAGTTCTGTACAAACTGCCAGCACTCAGCAGATCGCGCCGACAGGCCTTGGATTGACTGTTCGAATGAGATTAGTGGCTCAGAAACTGAAGGTCCCTATTTAAAATTCCACTTGAATGACAGCTTGTCTCGCAAAGAGAAAGACAAGCTCTGGCTCCAAGAAGCTCAACAAGACATCCCAGGTGGCAGCGGGTGCTTCAAATCTCTGAGAGCTCTGTTCGCAACGAGATTCTATGCTAGGGAGAAGAAACTCAGGGCCAGGTGGTCGCCAATTCGTGGTGGTCTATATGGGAAGAGTGCCCGACTGATCCTGAAGCTACCACGAGAACTAGTCGAGGGGGAGAAGTTATGGGAACGCGCACTCTCATGTCTGAAGCCGATCCAAGATCGGTTCGTGACACCTAAAACTTGTCTAAGGGTCATGGCATTGTTTGCAATTATTCTACGGGGCAAGGACGTTGTGTCAAAGGGAAAAGACGACCTGAGCAGCTGGTCTTTGCATAAGCTAATGGATGCATTATACGAAACATTCAGGGTTGGTTTTGAGAATCCAGAGTCTCTTGCCAGAGGACAGATTCTGCTTCTCACATTGATCGGCGGCGTTTTACGAAAGTTCGCTTTCGTTGAGCTACATCCTTCGCCATACTCCCTCAATGACGATCCTCCCAGTTTGGAAGAGTATGGTTTGGCGCCTTACGACATGGGTTTCGAAGACATCTTGATTCCTTGTGACGAAACAAAGCTGGGCCATTTCCTTCAACAATCGGACATGCCGTACGGTTGGAAATTCATGCAAGGCTACACCGGACACCACCTAGTCGAGGTAATGATGTGCTTGCGGCCGGTTTCACCCAAGAAAGTATACGAGGCTTCAGATATTTTCCAAACTAAGCTACGATCCCCATTAGACAAGATTTCAGCAATGCTTTCCAGCTCTAAGAGTACGTACAAAGATCTACACGAAAACCAGGAGTTTTCATATCCTCCGAACCAGGTTCGAACAGCGCGATTCTTAGGGCCTACCTACTGTATCAGCGCATACCATACTACTATTTGGGAGTATGAGAGTTCAGATTCGTACCTTCGTCGAGAGGAGCGTCTTGTCACCAAGGTTCGGGAAGACTACAGAGACGCTCGCGCAGCAGGTCTTTGTCGCCCGGTCAACATAGATATAGTATAGCGCAGCTCCATAGGTATGCATATCTCGATACTGCGTGAATAAGATCAATTGAAATTGTTGCTGTTTATTACCACCCACACAAATAGTGGCGCTATGTCACAAAATATTATGTCCATTGGAACATACCGAACAGGATATAGATCATAGATAAGTTGTTAGAAAAGGTGATGATATGAGATTTATCATTGAATGATACACTCTTCCAATTTATGGAGCAAGAGTGACCGCCATATTACTTTCCGGATATCTCCCTCACAACGAACAGAATGGAAGGGCTTGAATGGTCTGAGTTGATCTGCGAGCTATCTGGGCAAGGTAGGATCACATCGGGGACCGCGAGTATCCAGAACTCGAAGTTAAATGCGTTGTGACTGCCCAAGGCAATTTCTATCCAAAACGGCGGCATACCGGTCGCTGAGCAGCACGGTCCATCCAGCAGACGTCTCTTAGGACGTATGCTCTGTCCACAGTCGGCTCGAGTCATGATCCTCGGTACAATTTCTCTGCTTTTGTCCAAAGTCGGCAACTTTCACAAACTCTGATTGGGTCCCAACCAGTCGGATCGGAATACTAACAAGCTCGGCACTTTCCAGAGCAATTCGCCGTCCGATCTGACGAGTCGCGTTCAATCTATGCGAAATCTGGCGCCAAAGTATACACCATCCGGAGAGGCCTTGCGCTTGAACCTTACCTGATGAGACGATCTCAGCCCTGAATCGGGGTCTAGAAGGGTCTAATAAGCTCCAGACAACGAGACGAACCAACCTTCTTTGGGAAATGAAGCTTACCTTTACGAAATTGAAGAATGTTCACGATGCGAGGTCGTACAAGCAATTTCGAGTATAAAGTGTCTTCATTGAGCAGCTTTGTGCACTTTTTTCCCTACTCACCCATCGTTCTCTCTTATCTTCAGTCTTTCATTTGATTACGTTCAAAACTCTCGTTTTAAGTGAGTGGGCGCCCATTTATATGACAACTAAGCAATTGCCCACGCATATTAACATTCTCTTGTAACGTGAAGGTCTTTCCAAGCCAAGTCCGTTTCAAACTTCACTACCACAAAATGCAACTCCCGCTGTCGCTTTCGTTCTTGGCGGTCCTCGGCATGGCCTCCGCAGCGGCCGAGTGCGAGCGCAACGGCTTCTACAACGGCCCCTTCGCCAACAACCGAAACCTCAACGCCCCCAACGACGTCGGTGCGACCACTCCTTTCGTGTGGAACGGCAACACGATCATGGTCAAGATGCAGGCCAAGAGGGACTCGTGCGACCCCGAGGGTGACTGCGACGATGACATCACCTATAACTTCAAGAACCAGGGCAAGGTCCGGATTAGAGCCAGGATAGAGGAGTCGAAGAACGATCACTTGGAGATCATTCTGCCTCCCGGAGCTGACTGTGACGTCGGCCGTTACTTCAATCGGTACGATGCGCCGTACCAGGTCTCTTTTGCTCAATGATCTGAGGGCATCGCGTCGAGCCTGAAGTAGTTTATGCACGTGTATTTATTGGACAGTTCTTGTACAAACGAAAAGCCAGTGTATAAGTATCTGTTTTCGGACTTTACACGAGTAAAATTGTGGCATCGCGAGTTCATGAAGTCGATGCTCATATCAGAGCTAAGTCCTTGATAAGTCGCTACAAAGACACCGGAGCGTCAGCGTCACATGTACGGGCACTGTGTTCGGTTATACGCAACGTGCCACACAAAACCTTATTCGCTGGCGATAGTTCCAGAATAGCCGCATCCTTACGCCTACAATGCATATAACAAATTCGCAGTACCGAAGGATGGCACTTACTACGATCATGCGTATAAATACGTACCGAGTCACTCGTTGTGTCTGCCTCTCTCTGTACCATTGATAATCATCATAACTCCTTGAATACATCTAACCATGAAGTTCTCGATTGCCCCAATTGCTGTCTCCTTCCTCTTCCTCGGAACAGTCGCATTAGGACAGAGTAGTGTGGGTGGTGAGTGATAGGTTCCGTAAAACGTATGAATTGATATTAACGGCCTTCCGAAGGCCTTTGTACTAAAGATTCAGATTGTCTAGCATGTTTGAATGACGGAACTGGAAGACGTCTCTTTCGTCCAGGATGTATGCATCTCCAGCTCTCTATTCCACTCTCGAATTCAGTGAAGAATATTCGATACAAGGCTGATGTACGACAGCTGGAAATGGGGAGAAACGCTGCGCCATCAACGAGAAGGCTGGTAGATGTGGGCCCCGGGGATGAGTTTATTTTGCGCAACTCTCAAAATCAGGGATTTGATGTTCATATCTTATCATCGATAGAACATCAACTTTGGGCATTTCAATTGGAACAAGCAAGCGTTCGGATTTCCTCTTTGATGAGTTCTAGAGCAATCTCTCATCTGCCGTCGCGAGTGAGCGCGGAATTGGATCTCAGTGACTGTGAAGTCTGCATGGTGAGTGGGCGTGACTCGTTGACTACCTACTCAGAGGTGAAAGCCCATTTTTGCCCACAAACACACTGTTCTGCCGCAAGCTTACATCAACGTCAAAAAATGATGGACGTAATTGCGATAGTTGTTGCCTATTCTGTTGTCATATCGGATTAAAACTCATGAACGCTTCATGTGCATTTTCCGATATCCGTCCCGATTGAGAGTGGGCCAGTCTAACGCAGGGGTGACGCTGATGGCCAATCGATGATTCACAGGGCGCAATTCCCGCTGACGCTAAACTCAATCAGTGAGGAGCCAATTATTCATAGGTATCAAGGTGCGCTGAAACTTTGAGTTCTAGCTGGGCACACCGCAATTTGACCCGCTGACTCACTTTCGTTCACAACCGAGTATCACACCTCAACGTCTTCTCACTTGCCTATCGTATTCCACTGCGCCTTAAAGAACAGTAACAGGATCCGTCAGAAGTAGATTCATTATGGGGGACTCGATCGCGAACGGGGTGCCATCCGGCAAGCCGGTGCTATTCTTGTAAGCTCACAGATGCACCCTTCATCCGGAATGCGACTATTTAAAATCGAGTACTGGACTAACATGAACTTCCAGTGATATCGATAACTGTCTTTACTCCCGGAGTAAGTAACATCTGCTTCCACACGCATACTGCAACTCACGTAGTCATTCGTAGGTCACAAGATTCACACAATGATGGCCAAGCTCATCGACCAGTACTTCATCACACACCTCTCACTGCCAGCTGAAGAGGCCACAAGACTGACCCATGAATACTACACGGTTTACGGCTTGGCAATCGAAGGTCTCGTGCGGCACCACCAGATTGACCCTATGGACTTCAATGCCAAGGTAGACGACGCCCTTCCGCTGGAGAACATTCTCAAACCAGACGTGGAGCTTAGGCAACTCCTGGAGGATATCGACAGAGACAAGGTTAGACTGTGGCTCTTTACGAACGCATACGTCAACCATGGAAAGCGCGTTGTGAAGCTACTAGGAATCGAGGATCAATTCGAAGGCCATACGTACTGCGACTACGGTCAAGTGCCCTTCATTTGTAAACCTGCAAAGGCCATGTTCCATAAGGCTATGAAAGAGGCCGGAATAGACAGACCCGAGGACTGTTACTTTGTTGGTGAGTTGCACCGAGTTTCTCAAGTAAAAATGCCCTCGATATTTCACCATACTTACGATGCGTCACAGATGACTCATACGCCAACTGCAAGAGTGCAGAAGAGCTTGGCTGGACTGCGGCGCATTTAGTTGAAGAGGATTTGCCAGTTCCTGAGACGAAAGCATCAACCCATCAGATTCGTCACTTGCGAAAGTTGAGGGATGTCTACCCACAGTTCTTCAAGTCCACTGGGTCAAAGACTGCCACCGGGGCTTGATTTAGCCCAAATTCTTAGTACCCACTGGCCCAATAAACTGACGGACAACGTCTCATAGAATGATTGACATATTATACAAATGAGATCACCTGAAACTGATTGCATCTTGAGAAGGAATTCTATCGCTGGCCGCCTGAATCTCCCAGCCACAGCTGCAATGCTTAGGAGTAAGCGATCGAATTTTCTTTCGCATCCAATGTTATTTGAACGTGGAACTTCCTCAATTCAGAGCTATGAAACATAAGACTGAGACTATCTGCTGAGGTCGACGGTTGAAAGCGCCGAGGCTGGTTGACTGGCTCTATCACTGTCTCCCTCAACGCGATCGCCGGAAACAAATGGGCCAATCGGAAACATCATTTTGATTCCGACAACTCTCAAATTCCATGAGTATCATTGGCCCAAGCTCCTTTGCTTTGTTGTATTCGCTATGTGAAAAAGGAATGGTTGAAAAGGGGAGGGCTCCACAGTCATGACTCTCTCACCCTGACTCTCGTTGTCAACGCTCTCTCGGTCGTGGCAAAGCCGTCTAGCTTCCTTTGCTGAAAGGCTCGGTGAAGAGGGCTGAAGAAGGAGCTGACAAGCTTCTAGACTGAAAACAAAGGGCATGGCGTCACGCATTCCGTTGGTTAGGTCAGCCGCAGCGACCAACCACGTCAAAGACAGTCAGCCCCCGCGTTGAGACATCTAAACTTTTCCTATCCCCCTCACCTCGACCTCCACCGCCCGACGGTTGACATGGCACATCCACCTACTTAATTGCACCTTATCCTGCGGAGGTCTCCACCCCGCAACCACCCGATAACATCTCGCGACAGGCGACGTCAGGTCAAGCTTGCGTGGCGGCGAAATATCGATGAACCCGAGCTCCGCGTTCGAGTCGTCCCAGAGTCCTGCCCCTGAGTCTGACCGCCCCGTAAACTGAAGGGCGCCGATCAGCAAATGAAGAACGGCCCCCGTTGGCCGAAAGTAGCCAGCTGCCGCTGCCATTCTCACCGGTCTTCCTCGGACGGCGAGCGACTCGCACGCGGGTTTTCCGGATAAGCTTACAGTGCTTGCTTTTCGCGTGTGTGTCAGTGTGCAAAAGATTCCCTCTCCCAAGACCAGCCATGTCCCAGAAGCCAACAAGCTTCGCTTGCGACCGGTGCAGGGCGGGGAAGCGAAAAGTAGGTCACCCCATGGCTCGCCTTCCGGACCATTCTGCCTAAATGTGCCCTCTCTTTCCCCCTTCCCTATACCCCATGGGGCGAGGTCCCTTGTTAGTTTCGCGAACTGCCGTGACTAACTACATACCGTCGGCAGTGCGATGCAGCCCGTCCTGCATGTTCGCTATGCAGCAGGCAGAATAGGGAATGTGTTTACACAGAACAGAGGCCCAGGAAGTACGTTGCCATCTGTGCTGCAGTCAGGCGGCACGGGAGACCCAGTATGCAGTCACACTGACACAACCTTCACAGACGGAAGTACTGGGACGAAGATTATGTCAGAGCTCTCGAGGCCCAAGTACAGTCCCTCTTGTTGGCACTGGAAAAACAACAAGACGGCTCCGAGAAGGAGACATCACCACCAGTATCGCTGAGTGAACAAATACTGCCCGAACCCGATGCCCTCCATGAAGGCCTCGATGATGCCGAGGCAGCTGAGCTAGCTGAAGCTGTCCCCACCAAGGGCCCTACAGTAGAGTTCCGGGGTGACTTGAATGACACCCCATCGACGGGCAAGGATGCACAAAGTCAAGAGAGGTCTCAGCGGGCCATGGAGGAGCTGTGTGTGATGCTGTGGAGGACAAATGTTGGCGATGGCGTGACCATCATCAACGACCCCACCACCGGATCCAAGTACGCGCTCGAGGCAGCTCAAGAAGCCCCTCCATCGGCACAGTTCGTGCCGCCAGAAAATGTTCTCGCGTATTGTCGACAACCAGGTCTCATACACGAGATGGCCGACACATTCTTACAGAACATCAACAAGGAGCACCAGTTCACCCAGTATACGAACATCGACTTCCTCCAGAGGTACCCTTACCAGGCCCCCGACGAAGCATTCTTACACAGCGCCATCATCGCCACAGGGACGACCTTCTCACTCAGGCCAGATGCCATGAAGATTGGCGACACCTTTGGCCAGTTTGCTGAAAGTCTCGCCTTCACCTGCTGTCGATTAGCCCCCACGGTCAAGGTTATCCAGGGCCTCTCCATGATGTCCTGGAGATCTCTAGCTCTAGGCAGAGATCACTTTGGGTGGATCTTCATCTCAATGGCTGCAGGTATGTGCGTGCATCTGAGGTTGCACGTCATGGCTCTTGATGAATGCGAGGCAAGACAGCTTGAAGCAAGCGAACAGGATATCAGAACTTTCTGGATGTTCTACATCATCGACCGCACAGCTATATCGATTCTTGGCCGCAACTGTGCGCTGCCCTGGCGGAGGGTAAATGTGCCCGACTTTGATACGACTTTCGAGAGTTCCACGGCGGATCTGGCTCAAGTATCCTTTGCCTGGCAGTGCAAGCTGTGGTATCTCCATGACCAGTACATGGATCAGGTGTAAGTTGGTTCGCTTTCAACTAAGGATACAAAACTTATCTGACACTGTCCGTCGCAGGTTCTCAACGACGTTCGAATCACTTCCAATACCTCAACAAGTCCGCATCTTAGTCGCAAGTCAAGATGCTCTCAACGCCTTCTTCCGCTCCCGTGACAACAGACTTCACCTGACTGGCGACTCAACACCAAAGCCGGTCATCTTGTTCCACCTTGCATACCAAATGACGATTCTCATCACCATGCCTCCTTTCCTGCGCATATTTGCCACCATCTCCCAGGCTTCATCCTCGTCGTCGACAACCACCGGTGGACAGAACTCGGAGTTTATGCTCCTCGTTCTGCGGTCTCTCACCGGAGCCGCAACCGCAACATCACGGCTCGTCAGGACCTACCGCCGCGCTCACGGTTTCGAGACACCACCAAACCCCGTCATTATCCACCACCTCCTCAGCGCAGCCATCGTTCACCTCATGAACGCGACAAGCTGGACCCCGGCCCTCCGCCACCAAAGCACGTACTGGCTCCGCCAATGCCTCGAGTTGTTGCGAGAACTACAAATCGCCTGGCCCGTTCGTGCGGTAAAGAGCATCAAGGTGATTCGTGTTCTGGCGCAACGTTGGGGCGTCATGAGAGCTCTGCCGATCGAGTTCAGCTATCAGATTGAGCCGACAGCGCCGGGAGCTGAGCGGGACTATGGCGCTGCACCCACCCTGGACAGGTCGACTAGTGATTCTAGCACCGCTGCTGCCAATCAAGTTGGTCTTGAGTATGAGTGGGACAGGTACGGGGCTGCTCCTTCAGAGGCACCAGTCGACTTTGGAACACTAGATATGAACTCATTCGCTTCTTTGGGGACGCTGGACGTGTCTGGGCTTGGTGTGGACCGCAACAATCCGGTCGGCTCTGTTGATATCTTCCAGGCTTTCCAAGGGCTAGCGAATTGCGAGGACTTCAATTGGCTTTCGGGGAACTCGATGTAGGACTAGGAACGAAAAGTGCGTATAGACCGAGCGAACGATGATCATCACCGATACAGAGAAAATGAAATGCAAAATATCTGCCCAAACATCTGTTTCCCGCCGAAAGCATTGGAATTTGATTCATTGAACGCGAAATGGTGGTATTAATTACGTGCCGAACTCATCATACATGCCCATTGACAAACACTCCCGCTGAAGCAATTACAACACTACCACAGACTCTTCCGATTTTGAATCCTTGTCAGCATCGCTGTGCAGCCTAAGGACGACCTTAATCTCTTTGTCAACAGACAATCTCAAAAGGTCAGGTCTGCTGTAGTGACCCGTGCAGTCCGCAAACATCTTTGTCCTGTGGATCATGTCCATGTCCAAATCGGCATACAGGATCGTCTCCGTAGTGTCATCGACAGGCTCAGTGAGCCTACGGCCGTCAGGTCCAAAGATGGCCGACGTGCCGCCCCCCGGGCTGTTCATGATGGCACCCTGGGCGCTGCCGTGTGCCGCAACGCCCTTCTCGGTAATCAGAGCAGTGCTGTGGAGCACGAAGGCATTTGACTCAATCGCATATGTGCGCGACAGCGTTTGGCATCCTACTCGGGTTGTTAGTTAGTGCCAATAATTCGGAACCACTACCTAATTAAGTGGCTAGTCACTGGTGGGATCGTCACAAACCTTCAGCGCTCATGGACCACATATCGGGGCCACCTCCATGCGGGGTAACGCTCGGCCACGCTGCGACGTGGATCTCCTCCTTTTGGGCGATAGTGTTGTACTTGAGCAGCGGCTGGATGTGCTCCCAGCAGGCCAGGGAACCAACTCGCGCAAACGGGAGCTCACCGACGCTCTTCAGGCAGTGGCCGGACGCATCGCCGAAGATGGTGCGCTCCATGTGCGTGGGCTTCATCTTGCGGCGGTGGACCTTGATCTCACCATCCTGGCCGATGAGGGCCTGTGCAATGAAAAGAGAGTTGTTGTCGTTCTCGGAGAAGCCAAGAGATACGGCAATGTTGTTCGCCTTTGCGCAGGCCTGGATGGTGCCCATTTCTGGGGAGTCGACGGCCAGGGAGTTCTTGATGTACTTGACATTGAGGTCAAAATCGATGAGACGCGACCAAATCCAGCAGGGGTAGCCGGGAATCCAGCACTCCGGGAAGGCGATGAGCTGGGCGCCGTTGGAGGCGGCTTCAGTGATGAGCTTGCACGTCTTCTCGACAGCAGCGGGGAGGTCGACCCAAGCGGGCTCGGCCTGGGTGCAGGCGACCTTGACAGTGCGGACAGTCATGTTGATGGGGGTCTGAGAAGTGAAGGAGGGAATGTTTGAAGAATTCAGCTGAAAATCTGGGGTATTTTGAATTTGACCAAGCATGGAACTTTCTTTGGTTCCACGACCTTGGAACGGATGACGGGCATGTTTTATATCAACAAGGACGAGTCCTTGGCTGACTACATGCAGTAGCTAATAGCATGGATCTAATCCCGAGTAGGCTGACCAGAGATAGCTGTCCGTAATTACCGGCCAATATTCTGTTGGCTCTGCCTCAGAGATAATGGAGGATGGCGGACGAGCGGTCTCAGCTCTCTGCCGGTTCCCTGCCCGATGGACACCTGACTGCATTAACCCGATGGTTCACGGGTGTTATCTGCAACTAACTAACGGTCTCCACCGAGTTATCGCGGGGAACGGTGACCCCGCGTCAAGCAACCGGATGCGGGCCGCAGACGTCCGCATCGATATTACGTCGTGCGGCCCCGCAACTCGGGCGGAGTCTTAACCGCCGCAACTTGAGATGGCAGATAGCAGGGGTCAATCCTACGGCTTATCAGGCCTCCCAGCTGAAGGCGAGGCGGTTGTACGAGGGCGAAACAGTCAAACCTAGAGTCTTATCATGGTTTCGCATCCTTCAATGGACACGGGGGAAATGTCGGTCTTATCAACTTCTTCGAGGGCCCAGCAGCCAAGACCAACAGGATTTTTTGTTATTCATCTAACTCCACAAGACCCTTAATAACCGAATCCTTTGCTGAAGAATCAGTCCACCACTCGGCTCAATAAGCGCCTCCTTCCCAGGGTCGGTCGAAACGAGTTCCCTGAGACCCTTCGGATTTCAGCTCGAGCCAATCGAGGTATCCCACCCACTTCTTTTCGGTAATCTCACGCAAGTCGAACCCCTCCTGGCCAGCATCGACAGAGTAGCCATTGACACTTAGGTAACTCCCAAACTTTTTGCCCTCTTTCCAACTGTCCTTAGAAGGTTTCCAAACCTTTGTGAGCTTCTTGCCGTCGACGTTACCATCCTGGTTTTCACCATCGGACTTGACGCCAAGAGTCTCCAAATCGACCTCTGCAACCTCGCCTTGTCCCATGAGAATGAAGCACCGCATGCCGCACGTCTTGCAGAAGAGGAAGTGCAAGTCTTTCTGGTAGACCGTGTAGTCACCAAGATCCTTGTACGGGTCCAGAGGATGCAGCAGGATGAAATCCTCTGGGGCCGAGTTGAGGCGCATGTGGAAGAAGCCTGCCTTCTGACAGGTGGTGCAGTTGCATCGGTAGAATTCCTGATGGGCTCGTGGCCCTTTTTCTTTGGTTGGACGAGGTGGAGGCAGAGTATGGGGGAAGGTGAGGAACACGATGTACTGCGTCTCCCCGCAGTGGCATGAGCCCTTGAAAGGCCGTCGCGTAGGTGCAACGTCAGTCATTGTGGATCGAGTAAATGTTGAGGTTGACGCCGAGTCTTTTTGAGACCTTTCTTTGCTGTTGTTGCCAAGAAGAGGGCCTTTGAGCACCATTAAAGTCAATAAACGTGTCAGATGCGGGGAAGCTTTACGCGCCCTTGTGTGACATCCAAGCGTGCGTTTGACCCAATCACCGCTGGTGTCTAGAGTCCCTGCAAGCATCGGTGGTACAGATTGCGTTATCAACTCCACAGCAGATGCAGTTCCCGTCAGCCTCACGATCTCGACGCCACTGAGACTTTCCCATGTTTAATTGTGTGCAATATTCATGTGTTTCCTGTCTTGAAACACGCCCCGGGTTCCCGAGCAGTGATTAAGACACATTACACTATGGAAATCAAGGTTAATTCCATATGAAATCGTCTTATAGTAACTACTAAAGACTGCGTGTGTGCTTTTTGGCTTTTAATGAAGCCAAGTAAGCGCCGAGAGGTATCCACACAAATCTTCAGCTATCTTGTCCGCTACCTCTCCGGCACCTCTCCGCCTGGTGATTCTAGGGTCGGTAGTGGACCCACATCGCCATCAACCAAGGGCGTGGTGGCAGAGTGGTCTAATGCGCAAGACTCGAAATCTTGTTCTTTCGGGAGCGTCCGTTCGAATCGGGCCCACGTCGACTTTTCTTTTGATTTTTTGTAGTCTTGAGTCTTGATGCGTGATGGCTGGAGGTGTCAGAGGTGAGTGAAGTCATATCGGTGGCTCGTGCGGTGTACCACCCTCTCCAGGCTCGTCGGTGTCTAGCCTCTGAAGTTTTGATGCAACAAGTGCGTGTCTGACTATTGCTATGCTGACGGATATGAAGTTGTCGCCGTTGTAGTTTAACTCTCATTGCGGTTGAAATTGATCAGCAAGCAGCTGTGAGAAGCACGACCAATCCCACCCGACTCCATCGGACATGCTCGGCGACCACTCATCCCCTGGCATGGGAATGCCACCCATGGGATCGTATCCAAAGTCGTTGGCGCCGGGAATGATGTAGTTCTGGTTGAATATCGGTGCTGCCGACATGTCAGGAGTAGGTCCTGCCTCCTTCATTTGGCTATTGTTGTCCGCCCAAGTATTTGGGGTCTGGCTTGAGCTGTCACCTTGGGCTGCCCATGGATTATCTTGGCCTCCTTGTGTTGATGCGGGGGGAACTGCTGGTGGAATGGGTTGTGCAGCTAGTCGCGTTGTGGCAGGTGTCGACTGCTGCAGAATCGTGTCGATTTTGTGCAACAGGCCATTGAATAGAGCGTCACCTCGGAGGCGAGAGTAGGCCTCCTTCATTGTGTCTGCCGCAGTTTGGATTAACTACGTGGGATGTTAGTAGGCCAAAGACAGCACATAGGTATCACTTACATGGAAGTCCATTGCGGAGATGCGGGAGTCGGGATGTGTGGCGACATGGACTGATAGCGTGACGAGAGCATGGAGTGCGACAAGCAAACTCGGATACACAGAGTTTGACTTGGAATCGAGAGTCTCTACGAGTATGCGGAGCATCTTTCGGGAAGCATTGGCAGCGATTGAAGGTCCGTTCCGAACCATGTAGTCCCACGGCTTGCCTTTGGCGATGATGTTGGCGCCGCTCGATATCGCTTCTTCGCTGATGAGGAGACTATTCCTCGACAGGATGACGAGACTGAGATTACGTGAGTCAGTCATACTAAAACTCTCATGACAGCAGTTTCTCTTTTCAGATCATGGCCGAATGAGGAAAACCTACGCGTTGTTGTAATGCATAGAGATGAAAGAGGCAAACGGACAAATTCTAGAGCCGATGAGAATATCTGATGTTGGTCTATGACAGACAATTAGCTTCATGTCCAATGCAATGCAGAAGTGTTTCGGGTGATCCGGCACGTACCGAAGTTCATCGGGAACGGATTCGCCCCATCTTGTGAGGAGCAGCTGTGCCTCTCCGGTAGTTTGAACCTTCTCGGTAATGACAGCCTGCAGCGCAGGTCCCGTGACACCGTCTTCCTTTCTGCTGACGATGACGGATTTTCGACCAATCTCACTCAAAATTCTGGCAAGATCAACTGTCACTGCGAATGCTTTGCCTTTCGAGGACGTCTCAGCTTCTGTGTAAGTCGCAGGTTCTTGGACATGAGCTGGGTAGCAGTCTTCATCGTCAATAGACGACAATCGGCCCATCTCGAATGAGAGGAACTTTTCGAAGGCATAAATGGCAAGCCAGAATATACGGCGCTCCTCATCATCGAGGGCGTCTGGTTTCTTGTTTTGACACTTGCGACGACATGTGCGCGGCTTGTTCAGCCCCATGGCGATGGCCATAGAGACGCCGACGCTGAGCGTATTCCAGCCTCCGGCGCAGTCATCGTAGCAGTGCATGCAGAGCGACAACAGCACAATTGCTCGGATGTTCTCGACGTTGTTGGCGACGACGAGGTGGCCCAGCAGTGCCTTGCAGTAGTCGAGGTACTCTCTGGGATCTAAGACGGGGTCGAGGAGTGGTTCGGCAGAGAAGCCGATGGTCCAGATCAGATACATCTGAGCGAGGATCGCCACGCCCCTAGTCTCGGCAAGCTCTACCGGACCCGACTCCAGGGCCAAGTCAAGGTCCTTTTGGAACCGGTCGCGGTTAAGTAGAGGGTAAAGAATGTTGACGCCGTCAAAGAACCTGGCCGCCAACAAGCGCGCGCATCCAGCGGGCGGGAAGCCACAGGGCTCCGATGAGAGAAGCGCGCGGATTCGGCTGCTAGGCGGATTACTCGGGGGCGGCGGCAGACCCCTTCTGTGCTGCAGACCCAGCCGGCGCGAGGCGAGATCCAACCAGTCGGCTAGGATCTCGACCGAGGTACTGTGCCGGCTTGGTCGTACTACGGGTAACTTTCCTTGGAACTTTCCATTGCTGTTATGAGACTCTTCCTCTTCTTGAGGGGGGGCGGTGTGAGTAGCAGGTACTGATGTTGAGTTCCTTGTCCTTGGTGTTGGTCCTGTCGTCGTGGAGTGAGAGTCTTTTGAGCTCTCATCATGACTGAGGTCAGCCACAGAGGGTGAGCTCTTATGCCCAGGAATAGCAGCGTCCACCGAGCTGTGGTAGATCTCCCCGCCTCTGGTAGACTGAGGAGACGCATAGGGTCCAGCCGGAGTCGCGGGCTGCGGCAAGGACGAGGTGGACGCCCGCGACATGCGGCGCTTCGTCTCGCGCCGCTGCACCTCGATGCCGGGACGCCGGCGGTCGGTGGTGACGCACTCGATCCCGGCAGCGATGCAGGCCCTGCATGACGGCTTCTGCTCGTCGCAGCGCGTCTTGCGGTTGCGGCAGTAGTTGCAGGCGAAGTTGATTCGTCTACGCTTCGCCTGCTGGCTCTCCGTCCCCGCGCTTGACGGGTCGACGAATGACGACGAGTCGCCCGGAGTGGGTACGGGGTTTGCGTAGGAAGATGACATATTGTTTGTTTGATATGGAAAAGAGGGGCGTGACTTGCGGCGCTGGCTGGAGTGAGTGACAAGTTGTCCTCTTGCTGCTGCTGCTGCTCCCGAGCCAGGGAGCTGATCGGGAGTGAGCGCAGGACTGGATAAGGCAGGCGTTCGGCTGGGGCAGAATGGAGATTGCAGATACCGAAGCGTCGTCGTTATGAGAGGCTCACTCTTTTTTGGCTTTGGGTTCCGAAACAACGGACGCGGCTCAGGACAGAGTTGTGTGTGCGAGTGCGCGTGAGGGCGGACGTTTCGGCGATTCATGTGCAACACCAGCCGACGGCCCCTCTTTCCGGCAGTGCTCAGGGCTTTCCGATGGTGGGGGGTATCCATGCAAATGCGGGCATGACAGATCTTCACGGGAATTGCCTCTGACGTGACTGGTTGATCTCGCTTCTTCCCCAGACTATCCCCACGGGGTCAATTGGAGTACAGCCGTGGGGGACACAATTGACGCCAAGTTCCCCGCGTTGAGGCGCATCCCGTACCAATTGCCGGCTGAGAAAAAGCCCATACTATCGGGAGTTGATGGGTCTAAGCCGAGCCGAAGAGCCAGCCAAGATGTTTTCGCACTATTGATGTGTGCTTGCAGCTGAGTGACAATGGATACGACGACAACAACTCAAGGCTGGCAGTTTCCAAGAAAACAGCAATGCATATGAATGATGAAGCGCGTTCAGATAGGGCAATAGACTTTTACCGTAATTGTATTTAGACGAAGACAGAGAACCTTATTGAGCCCAAACGTGTTCCCTGACTCATAACCTCCGACCTCACCTCAGGCTCGGAGACTTTGCAAAGGCTTTCTGTACTGTCTTTTCGTTGGCCCATTGATTTGAGAGCTGAAGTCCTGGGTGACTAAAGATGTCGGAGCCGTCCGTCCCCAAAGATGATGAGCCGCGGGTCGACACCGTGGAATCACCCACCGAACCACCGGCGACACGGGAGGCGCAGGCGCACGGCACGGTTCAACTTCTCCAAGGTGGTTCAGTCGTCCTAATTCCAACTCCGAGCCCAGATCCAAAAGGTACACTTTTCCATCGTCAACGGCATGTTCACAGGATCGTCGTTGCTTCGCATAGTTGAACGGAGTTGACCTGACAACACACAGATCCTCTGAACCTTCCGACATGGCACAAATACCTCATCATCTTCGTCGTTGGCTCGTACTCAGCAATCGCCGTTTTGGTCACATCCGGTTTAGGGGCTGTGTTCCGCTCAGTCCTGAAGGAGTACCCACCTGAAGACGCAACCCGCGCAACCGATCTTCTCACTTATCCAACACTTTTCATGGGCATCGGTAACCTCTTCTCTATGCCCTTATGCGTCACGCTCGGCCGGCGGCCCGTCTTCCTGGCCTCACTCATCTTGATGGTGGTGTCGGGCATATGGTGTGCATTTTCCGGCTCGTTGAGCAGCCACATTGCAGGCCGCAACTTCTACAGCATCGCAGCCGGCCAGAGTGAGGCTCTGGCTCCGTTCGTGATCGAGGAGATCCACTTCCTGCACGAGCGCAGCGCGAAGCTTTCCTGGTTCATTGGCGTTCAGACTGTGGGCACGGCTGGCATGTTCGTTGCGACAGCTTACCTGGTGCCAGCTTGGGGTATCAAGTGGTGGTACATTATTGTCACTCTCATGAATGCCGTCATTCTAGTTTTAGCCATCTTCTTCGTGGTGGAGACCAAGTACGACAGGCCAGAGGACGCTGATCGTAAGTTCTTTCCTGCAACTTTGAGAGTGAGTAGAGATCTAACGTTCATGTTTCGCAGGTGGCGCTGTTCATCTCAAGTTCGACGACGATGGCAACGTCACGAAGAACGGCGATATGGAGAGAGTCATCCAAGTCACGACGCGCGAGAACCACGTCCTTCAACCCGAAGCATTTGGTGAGCGAACCTGGCGATCCGACTTGAAGATCTTCCACTTCAAGCCGGATTGGAGTCAGACTCTCGTGTTCTACAAGGAGACGTTCCAGTCTTTGTGTCTTCCAAACATTGTATGGATGTTACTCATCAACGGAACGTTCCTGGGTATCTATGTCTACCAAGCATCAACTTTTGCGACGATTCTTATGGCTCCACCGTACTCATTCCAGACCGAGTGGCTTGGTTATGTCCAGCTTGTTCAAGTGCTGGACTGCGTGATCATGGTCCCCCTCCTCGGTTATGGTTCAGATATCCTGGCGCGGAAGATGAGCACGTGGAAGAACGGCGTCTTTCAGGTTAGTGAAGCCAATTCGATTGACCCGGCCACCAGAAAGAAGTTAAATAACTGACAAAAGTATGCAGCCCGAGTACCGACTCATCATTCTCAGTATCCCGATTGTATCAGCAATCGCCGCATGTGTATTCTACGGTCAAGCCGGCGCGCATCCGGAACACTGGCACTGGATGACGATCGTAGCGCCGTACCACGTTGGGTACTTCGCTTTCCTGGGCGCTAACCTGATTGGAATCACCTACGCCATTGACAGTTTCCCGAGCAAAGCCGGGCCGCTGCTGTTGGTCATCTGTGCCGGTCGGGGTTTCATCTCGTTCGGGCTCAGCTATTCCACAGTGCCGCTGATCAATCTGACGGGATACAACGGAGCGATGAATATCTTTGCAATCATTTCGGGTGTGCTCGGGGCTATCACGATCCCGGTGTACTTCTTTGGAAGCCGGATTCGAATGTGGGCGACGAAGAAGCTTTGGCCTGAGATGGCCCAATAGGATTTTAGACTAGTAAGGAAGATTGTTGATTCAATCGAGTTCCTCCATCTGACGTCTACATAATGCCATAAAGGCAAGCAACACTCACACCTAAAACTTTCCATGTTCACGACAACACTATGAGCGACGAAGTTCATTCTTTACCGACTAAAAAAGCTCCGACTCGCGAAATCTAGGTCAGAGATCCAAGCCATTTAATGTTGTAAACCATGCAGCCATGTGTGAGCGGTTTCCATGACCAACGGAGCCGACTGGTGCAAAGTCAGGCAGTGCCCAGTGTTCGGTATGACCATAGAGCTGAAGGTTGCATTAGGAAACAGGGTTTCCGTTCCTCTCAGCGCGTCCGCGCAAGTATCGGGACCCCTAGGACAGAACAAAACATCCAAATCCCCCGTCATCACCAACACATTCCCCCGATAATCTGTCTCGACGGGCTGTAGGCCCGGTGACAAGAGTTCTCCGACTGTGACGGTATCCTCCCTGTCGTAGTCCCGCGCGGCAAAAGACGGATCAAAACTGCCTCCGTAGAAGCTAGCCGTCCTGTCGCTCTCGTTCACGACGGTCAAATACCCCAACGGCAGTCCCTTGAATCTAGACGACACCATGGCTGCGCTTCCGTATGCGGAGAGGGCACTAGCAGAGGTGCCTAGATCTCCCGAAAATCCCGTCAGAATGAAGGCGTCAACATCGAGTGGATGCTTCTGCGCAAGCATGTTGCCGAGAGATGAGCCATAAGAATGTCCGACATATAAAATCTTGTCAAAGTCTCCTAGCGTGCTTCGGCCTTCCCTGACGGTGTGAATGAGGCTGTGGATGATTGCCACTTCCAAGGGACCCTGGACGACGGCGAATGGGTCCGGGTGAGGTGATTCGATGCCATGACCAAGCCTGTCGATTGCGAGCGTATGGTACCCAAGTGAAGTGGCGTAGGCCTGCCAGTCGTACTGAGGAAACCCAAATCCGGACCACATTGCCCTATCGTATGTTATACCATGAACCAGCAGTTGCAGGCTTAATGAATTTGGTGATGCTACCAGTGGGCGACAGTGGGTAGCTTTGATAGTGAAAGTTCCGTTGATCTGACGCCGGTTGTGCTGTGTTCGTACGGCATCGAAGGAAGACGCCAGAAACCCAATTACGGAGGTTGCGTTGTTGACATCGGGTAGATCTTCGAAGACGATATTGCCAGCTTCGGCTGTGACGTTGATGGAAACCGAAGAGCATGACGGGCGTCGAGGGAATGCAGCCGATAGGCCGAGGAAGGAAAAGAAACCCGTTACAAGGAGAAGTTTCATAACGATAATGACCCAGCGAATAGGAGGTTCAGCAAGAAATCAGGAGCTTGGGGAAATATGCCGTGCTTGCTTTGAGTTTCGTGAGGGAAAGGTGTGCGAGGTGTGACGTGATTGAATATTGTGGTAAAATTCCAGAACATCGCGCCTAGATATATTGCACACTTCCTGATGTCAACTGAGCACCTAGTAAGCTTGTGTGGGCGAATCCACTTTCACGTTGCACAGTCGGAGTCCACGAGCACCGAATATCCCGGGTTTCCAACCGTCAAAGCCGGGCACGTTAAGATAGCAATTACTAGCGTGACTTGCAAGTCACGCTCCTGACATCTTGCAAATTTCTCAGCAAGTATAGTCAGAATTTCTGATGCTTTCATCGCGGGAAAGGGGAAGCCGGTCATTGCTGCAGTGGGGCCCGGTCAAGGTCGGAGGCCGGTTTTTGCTGATCTTGTAACTCAAGGCTTTGCACTAGAAGCCTTTGATTGAGTCGAGCAGGAAGGTTACAGCGTCGGCGAAGTCATTTGGAACCCCGATTGAGCTCCAAAAATAAAAATAAAAACTCTGGCAGAACCGTGAGGTCAGTTCGATAATGTGTTTGGTGTCACGGAGTAGCGGTGGATGTTCTCAACAGTGTCATGTAAGCTCGACGACAAACGCTTCATTGATCTTGCGCGCCATGGGTGCGCTGACCCTGGTGTACATTATCGGAGCTCTCGGTATTTTGCTGCTGGCCTTTTTCCGAGTCCATCACCGCTTACTACTACAGTGCCTTCCTACGATGCCGGTATGTAGCTGGCTCCAACTGGACACAACCGCTTTTAAGTGAGTCATTTCTGGTTAGCATTAGTTTCTAAGTCGCTTGCCACCGACTATGTCGGCACTTCGCTACTTTTCTCGTGCCCGATCAGACAAATTGACACAAGGATACGCGCCCAGAGGTAGTCAATTCAGCTGTGGTATCACCTTTGGTTCAGAAGATGACGGCAACTTCACCTCCGTGTTCCGGTGTAATCTGCACGCCCATCAAATGAACCCCAGCTGGCCGCGTGAGCGACCTTGATCCCTCGATAGTTCAGAGACCCGCCCACTACGTATGTAGACGTAGCCTGAGGATTGAATTTGAATGATGCTCCGAAACATACAGCAGCGGCTTCCAACACTGACTACAAAACGTAGCACGAGAATTGCTGGGTGATGGATAATGCGTCAAATTATCTCTATAGAGCTTGTAAATTTGAGCGTCAAAGCGAAAAACGGACCCAGATTTGGATCCACAAGCTATCGTATGAGCTGGAATCGGCCTTGCGACGCCGCTCATGTCGCGAAATGGCTTAAGTTTGAAACAAATCTTCTTATGGCAAGTGGCCGAAATTTATCAAAAGATCAGAAAAAGGCAGTTTCATTTCAGATCAAGACGCTTCTCATAATCAAATTGTTATGACAGCGTCAATACTTTGGCTGAGTATGGCGACGCGACGCGTCTTAATCAATTTTCGCGACACCTTATAGCATAGGCCTGCGTAATTTCCGTTGAAGAAGTTACTTCAATCTTCCAGCTCATACTTACGTATCGAGACCACTCTTACATGCTTTGGGAGAGTCTCAAGCTTTGGGAGGCAACTTGTGACCAATACCCGCCACCATGGACCAGGCTTCGGAACCCGTCGTGATCTCAGTCAGAATGGATGGCGCCAGTGCATACGACCCCGACGCCAGGGTCGACGCCATCGCAACAACGATTCCCAGCTTCTGTCGCGGCTGCAACGCCTCGACTGCGCACAACGACATCCCCGCGATCCAATGCGCATGGAAGAAATTCGAGGAGGTTGAGTCCAGCGCGTCCTGGGAGGAGATCATCGTCAAAGGGGGCATCGGGCCTTGGGACCGGATCAAAGCCGCCAGGGACGCGGCGGACGCGGAGGTTGTGAGAGCCGAAGCCCGCGTTGAAGAACTCACCAAGGCCTTGGAAATTGCAAGGAGCAAGAGGGAATGCGCTACTGAACGCTTGAAGGGAGCAGATGATTACCTGGAGAAGGTCGTCGGGACGGTCGCAAGCGACAGTGGGCGCCTGGAGGAAAAGTTTGCAGAAATGACATCTGGCGGCATCGACTTGTACAACCTTTGGGGATCTTGTCCCACAGGAATGCCGTGGAAGATGATCGACAGAATCGATAACCGGTTGCATGATGTCTTTGTTACGTTGCAATCGACGACACACATTACTGGAAAATCTTATGAGTTTCCGGCCGAAGCTCCTCAGTGGCCGAGACCGGCGGTCACTGCCACCGAGTCCTCGAACACCACCGCGGAGCAATCGAACATACGAACACCTACGCCGTCTGAGAAGAACTCCGGAAACAACCAGGATAGGAGGAGAGGGAAGGGCAAGAACAACAAAAAGCGTCGCAACGACTCCAGAGCACAGCCTTATCCAACGCCGGCAAAGCAACACCGTGGCGCCAAACAAGGCGCTGCGATGCGCTCGGAGCTGCCCAAACAGGCAGAACCTACAACGAATGTCAAGCGCGAGGTTGCGGAAGAGCCAACGACATCCGTTGGCAATCAAAGCAAGCCTAGCACAACAAGCAGCGGGCCTGTGCAATATCTCTAAACGTCGGTCAAGCAAGAAGACGCCCAGCTTGACCAGATCCCATTCAAAACCGAGACGAGGGCGCAACCCCTGGAAGGAATGGGTTCAAGTAGCCTCTCATGCGAGTCGGAGTTCCAGAGGGTTGATCAGAACGACCTGAGGCATATTGCTGAGGGAGCAAACCAAACGAGCAATGGCATCGACAACGGGGGGCTGATGGAATTTACAGTAGAGAACCCGAAGAAGCCGACGTGGAGAGTTGAGGGGATGGCGAAGTTGGACGAAAGGCAAAAGAACATAGAGAGACTGATAGGTGGCCCAATCAGCGGAATCGAAAAGTAAGTGAATTTACTGTTTTGCTCTGTATTCTGTAGCTTACCATTTGTGTTTCCCAGATGGCTAGAAACTGAGAAGAAGAAGTCGGAAGTGAAGAAAGATTCGAACACTAAAAGCTTCCCATAGACGTATCATCCTCACTGTTAGAAACTAGCATCCGATCAACCATCGTATCATCGCTATTGCAGGAATTGCATCCTCGTTTCCGCGCCAACGCCTGTAATCGCATTACCTCCCGCTGCTGAACATCTCTCACGTCCATATTGAGCCACCTGTCAGGTGGCATAACAGACGCAGCCCAGACATAGCAATTTCGTGGATCTTAGATTGACACCGCTGCACGTATCTCACCATCGCAAGTCTTCCATCACTACATTTCGATAAACCATTTCCGAGCTCAGCAACGATGGAGGATGAAGTGACCGAACATGTAAACGGAGTGCTAGTGACCTACCGCAACCCTATCAACCGGATCAAAGACCTAAAAGAGCCATGTCACTGCTGCCATGTTCCACGTGAGCTTAGAACACACGCGAACGACGTCGAATATCGCAAACGTGATTTTGAGCCCCGACAACTCCACACCAACGATGTCACGCGTGCAGTCTGGAACAGCTTTGAAATTGGCCAAGGCTTGAAGGACTTGCGCGCTGATGAAAAGGGAGGTAGCAAATTCGGAAGACCATATCACCTGGCTGCTGGCTGTCCTCAAGAAGGCGCGGGAGGAGAAAGATCGTGCCGCAGAGAACGCGTGCAAGGCCAAAGAACCGGTGGACGACGCCACAAAGCAGTGCATCGCGATAAGTAACGTCCCAGAGGCGAGGTACGAAGATCTCTGCTCGGCTGGCCAGAAGTATTTGGGGTTGATTATTTGATCTGCAGGGCTTTGCTGAATCATACATGATTCTAAACCTCTGTTCTTTGCCTGGACTACAGCTTCTCCTGACACACAATTGTAATATCCGTTGTTCGACTCAATTTTGATGACAGTAAGACTGCAACTTACAGTCTGATATAGGATATTCTTAGCACTCTCGAACAAAAACCAACTCTCTAAGCTCCAAACGTGTCCCTCGCCTCAATCGGCGCCCCCTGAATGTACGGAATCCCCGTCAACTTGAATCCCCTCTCACTCAACCGCGGCACCTCCCGCGGCTTGCCCGTGTTATACGGACACGGCTCCCCGCCCCTCTTCACCGGAATCCCGCCCACGTGCATCGCATTCGGCCAGTGCGTCGTGCTCTGCAAGCTCTCAAACGCGCCCTTCTTCCGCACCAAGTCCTCCTGGCTCGCGTCCGCCGCCGGCATATAACACGTATACACACAGAACCGCGGCCTACCCCCCTCGGGGCTCAAATTGTAATGCGGCGTGCGGCTGTCCCAGAGCAACAAATCCCCCGGCTCCGCATCAATCTTCTCCCACACGCAGCCCCTCTCCTCAAGCCACTTCATCCCCGCATCCGTAAACCCGTACCACTCCTTCGTCCACGCCCAGATCTTGTCCGGCTCGTCCTTGAACGCCGCGTGGAACTCCTCCGACAGGCGGTGCGCGCCCTTGCACACAATCAGCCCGCCGTCGCGCGGGCCGTTGGGCAGGAGATTGACCAACCCCTGCAGGCAGCGGAAGCCCGGCTTGGCCGGGTCCTGGTCCTGGTGCGGCCAGGGCTTGTTGGGCTGCACGTCGGCGCGGTGCGGGAAGGCCATGTTGACGGCGTCGAAGGAGACGATGAGGTCGGGCGTGTCGTAGACGCGCTCGAAGGCGGCGACGAGCCCGGGCTCCTGGCGGACGGCCCAGGTGAAGGACTCGTGGGCGATGCCGTAGCCGAGGCACATGCCCTTCTCGGTGATGATGGGCAGGTTGGCTTCTTTGACGGTGGAGGGGTCGTTGCGGTCGAAGCCGAGGCCGCCGGCGCTGGTTGGGGTTAGCGTATGGATAGCGGTTGATAAGGGAGGGAAAAAGGACTTACAAGTTCTCGAGGTAGGACATCATGTCGTCGGCGTATTTGTCCGCCCGCTCGCGGGGGATGGCGCCCTTGACGACGACGTAGCCGTCGCGGACGAGGTCATCGCGGAAGTCGCCGTAGGTCACGCCTTCTTTGGCGAAGAGCTTGTTGGGCCCGGCTGGTTTGGGGACGATGGGGGATGCGGAGGATGATGATGTCTCTGGCTTCTTGGGTGCCGGGACCGTGATGGTTGCGGCTGCGCCGGGGGAGTTGTAGTCTGTTGCAATGACCATCTTGGGTAGGCGTTGCGGGGGCAGCTGTCTTTGTGAAAGGCTGTTGTAATTCTTCAGTCCTGCTCTCTTTTGAACTTCTGACTGATTTGACCGATTGGATTGATAGAGACTCCAGAAAGCTTAGACGAGGTTCGTAAGATGTGTTTATACTTGACACTCTGTCGCGGTTGACTGTCTGACAACTTTCAGCCTCAGCAACTCTTACGCAACATCAGAACAACCACGCCACAATTGAAACTTACATCACTAATTATCCCGAGGAAACACTTCTTTGGCACATTTCCGCTAGGCCCTGCGTGTCGTCTGCTCGGTCCGGGACGGGAGTGGTGGGGGAGGGACAGCTACCTACTCAATCGGCACGGGAAGTGTCGGCTCGGGAGCAGTTTGGTGCGTATAAGTGTCGGTTCGGGAGTTGGTGGGTCCAGTCCCACACGGGGTCCCGAATCTGATATCGCATCCCGCTCGACGAAGGCAAGTCATCAATTGACTTCCGGATCGTCGTCCCGGATGAGATTCGCGGCTCGTAAGATCGTGGGGTAATTTCATATTTTCCAGATACAAACTCTTCTCATAAAGAGACACCAAAAACACAATGTACAATCCCTCGCCACACGCAACTCCCCCCCTGATAACCACCTCCTCCTCTGTCTCTTGATTCCCCCCCAAGCACGCATCAGAGACACTTCTCATCCCACAAAATGCAATCAACAACCTTCCGCGGGGTCCCCGTCCCCATCGAGCCCCTCGAGGCGCCCATACCAGGCCGCGACGGCTACACCGGCCTCAACCCGCGCACCGAAACCCTCCCCGCGGGCTGGAAACACCCTCACCCATCCGCCCGCCCCCTTCCCTCGCCCATCCTCGTCGAGCGCGACGTCGCCATCACAGTCCGCGACGGCACCACCCTCTACGCCGACGTCCTCCGCCCTCCCACCTCCAACACCGACGCCAAAGTCCCCGCGCTAATCTGCTGGTCCCCCTTCGGCAAGTCCTTCAACGGCCTCACCTCCCTCGCCTACATGACGCCCTGGTCCCTCGGCATCCCCGCCGGCACGCTCTCCGGCCTCGAAAAGTTCGAAGCCCCGGACCCCGCGGACTGGGTGCCGCGCGGGTACGCCATCGTCAACGTCGACTCGCGCGGCGCCTTCGACTCCGGGGGCGTGATGGCCATCATGGGCACGCAGGAGGCCGAGGACGGGTACGACACGGTCGAGGCCGTGGCCGCGCTGCCGTGGTGCTCGGGCAAGGTCGGGCTCGTGGGCAACTCGCACCTGGCGATCGCGCAGTGGTTCATCGCGGCGCTGCGGCCGCCGTCGCTCGCGGCCATCGCGCCGTGGGAGGGCTGCGGGGACTTGTACCGCGAGCAGTTCGCGCGCGGGGGGATATACGCGGGGGATTTGTTCGACCGGCTGATTGTGCAGCACATGCTCAAGGGCCGCGGCGGGCTGGAGAGCTTCCGGGAGATGTTCAAGGGGCGGCCGCTTGCGAACGCGTGGTGGAACGACAAGAGGCCGGATATGAAACGGATTAATGTGCCGACGTATATCACGGGGACGTGGACGAACACGATGCACGGGATGGGCGCGATCCGGGCGTGGATGGAGGTGGAGAGCGAGGACAAGTGGTTGAGGTGGCACCCGTGGCAGGAGTGGTACGACCTCTGGGGTAATGCGAAGGCGAAGGAGGAGCTGTTTGCGTTTTTTGATTGTTTCTTGAAGGGAGAGGAGAACGGGTGGAAGAGCACGCCAAAGTGCCGGATGGCGCTGTTGCGGTTTGGGAACAAGGTGCCGCAGGCGATTGAGGACATTGTGGAGGAGGAGTTCCCGCCGAAGAGGACGAAGTACAGGGAGATGTTCTTCGGGGCGGAGGGGAAGTTGTTGACGGAGGCGCCGAGTGAGTCTACGAGTGTGGGCTACGAGACGGCGAATGGGGAGAGTGTTGGGTTTACGTTTACGTTTACCGAGACGACACGGGTGATGGGCTTGCCCAAGGCGGTGCTGTTCATGTCATGTCCTGATCACGATGATATGGATGTGTATGTCATGATCCAGAAGCTGGACAAGGATGGGACGCAGATGAAGAACCTCAACATCCCGTGGAAGGGGATTCCAGTCAAGAGCTTTGAGGAGTTCAAGGCCGAGGAGGAGACGGAAGTTGTGCTTTACAAAGGGCCTGTGGGCATCTTGAGGGCGTCGCATCGAGCTATCGACGAGAGCAAGAGTATGCATCCTCATTGGCCGTACCATCCGCATGAGAAGGAGGAGAAGATTACGCCCGGAGAGGTGGTGAGGCTAGACATTGGAGTCTGGGCTCTCGGCGTCGAGTTTGAGGCTGGAGAAGGGGTGAGGGTCGTTGTCAGTGGAAAGAGCTTTGCGGTGAACAACTTTGGGCTCGATCATACCCTGAACCGAGGCCGACATGTGGTGCATTTGGGAGGGGAGTATGCTAG